GCTGCCAGACCTGCTGAGCTTTTCCAGCAACTTCTGTTTTTGATTCAAATTTACCTGTTGGCCATGGAGTCCAGAGGGCCCAATGGATCCTGGGTAGCCGGAAAGTCCCCTGACACCCTGTAGAAGGAAATTTGAACATTGATGAGGGAATAAAAAGCTGTTTTCAATTAGATTGAAAGCTACAGAGTAGCTCAGATATGCTTCTTATGAACTGCATTGATTGAGTTGGGTTGAATTTAGAATTGAAATTGTACTGACAAGAGGCACTGGAGGATGGACTCTAACCTGGGAGTTACTGCCAAACTCGACAGATGGGTAACTGGAACTGCAACTTACACACAGTTATCTCAATTTTAATTCTTAACATGCCAATAAGAGCAATAATTGGTACTAACTTGATTCTAGCACATTATAATTAACAGATTAATCCTCGTTTCCTCAAGCAAAATTTATAAAAGTTCCAGGTTAATATTGTCCAGCTCAAAATTGACCTCCATCATTAAACCTTCATAGTCTCTTAAATAGCAGATATTCTCAGAGGAATCTTTTTGCAATTCATTTTCCTTCAAATACTGATTCAACGCTGCAATATTTGGGGCAGGGGGAGGATGTTGGATAGGGGTGAGGTAGTGGGGAAGGTGGCATTAATTTTTTACTAACCTGTCTCATGGAAAACTGATGCAACCAGATCAGCTGCTTGTTTCACAGCCTGAGGATTTTACTTTCTTTTTAATACAGGTGTAAAATCAGGCAGTCATGCTGCTAAATCGGCTTGTCATCAGGTGGTTATGTTAGAATTCAACGTGACAATTTTTCGCTGCTTTTGACTTCAGTGGTGATAAAAATTTTGATTGATCTGAGTGTTTTCCTGATGCATTGACAGCATAAACTGCGATCTTACACTGGTCCCAGCCTTTGTTGACAGGGATAAGTTAGATTGCACAATGGTAATATATGTTTTAGGCTTGAGACATAAAGGATCTGTATTGAAATAAATGTTTTAATGATAGTCAGTTTATTTTAATTTACTCATGGAATGTGGGTGCCACTGGCTGGTCCAACATTTATTGTCCGTCCCTGGTTGCCCTGGAGAAGGTGGTAGTAGACGTTCTTCTTGAGTCGCTATAGTCCAAGGGTAGAAATATATGGATATAAAAGGTCCTGTAAATTTATTCAAAGAATAGGAGTGTTCTCCCTATTATCCTGGCCAACATTTATTCCTCAAACAACAACTAAAACAGACAACCTGTTCATTATCTAATTTCTGTGGAACATCTCCAAGTACAAATTGACTGGTCCATGTTCTGTCTTGTAACAGTGACGACACATCAAGATACCTCATTGATTGCATTGTGCTCTGGGATAGACTGGAGTCATCACAAACACTATATCAATGCAGGTTCTTCCTATTGCTTTTTATAGGTGAAGTAACAATGTCTTTAGCAGTCATCCCAAATCAGTGTGCATCTAAGTGTATACATTCTCACCAAGACTAGGGCACAGGAAGCTAGAAGTCATCTTCTAATCTAATCAATGCCCAAAATCTTTTACCATATAACTTCCAATTAATAGTTCACTCAAAAAAGCCTGATTAAATGGGCTCCTTTATAGAGATAAATTCACGTGCTCTGGGAGAAAGGCATCTACAAGGGAGGGGAACCTTCTTTAAATTAGTCGTGTTGTGGCCAATTGAGGGGAATAGAGAAAGGGAGCCGATTCACTTCTCCTCACTTGGGAGCTTGGCAATTTGGCGTATCTCACCTAGAATCATAATAAATTGGTGACTGGTTGTAGCACCATGCATACGTGAGATCAGAGCAAACTTTGATGGCATGTTGTTCAACTACAATGGATAACTCTAACCGGTGGCAAATATTCAAACTAAAATTACATGCTCCTCCCAATTCTCTTTCAATATGCCCGTAGCTAGAAAGGCAAAATTGTAGAAGAGAGGACCATGTTGAAAATTCCACCCCCACCAATCACCAAGTCCCTATGGTCTGTTCAGTTTGCTGACCCAATGTAGGATGGCTCTGAAACTTTCACTATTGATCTTAGCATCTTGCAAACTACGAAAAGCACATGTTATCTGGAGATTCATTTTCAGATTGCCATAGAATATAAAAGAGTATGTTGTTGTGGGGAACGGGGCGGAGCGAGGGCAAGAGAAAGGAAGTGAGGGTGGATGATAATGTCTTGTTTATTGGGGAATGTTATCATGGTATTAGCAACAGTCGTCTATCATCTTGAACCCAAGCTGTCAGACAGCAAATCGTTTTATTTATCTTAATAAGTGCTACTAAACTCAAGGAAGTTATCAACTCACCGTTTTACCCACAAGTCCTCTCCGGCCAGGCCGCCCCTTGAACAAAGCAAACATCAATTTGTTTTAGCTAGCCGACAATTTTGAACGGACTGAAATATAATGGAAATGACTAAAGAATAAAATTGTTCCAATATATAGCAGTTTATTTAAAATCAGAGACATATTGAATCCTCACAACTAATCCAAATTGAAAACAATCATATCTTTAAAATTTCCATTAAAATTACCATTAAACTTCATCAGGGCCAATTTTTTTTTGAATGCCAATAAAGACCAGCTTTTAAACAATAATAAACATTAAGTAGGTGCGAGTCTGTTTCATACCATAGTGCACAAAAACAAAGTTGCTGGAAAGGCTCAGCAGGTCTGTGAAGGAAAAAACAGAGTTAACATTTCGGGTCCAGTGACCCTTCCTCAGAACCACACCATAGTGCCACTGAGATTCTTAATTATCACTTCATTGCATCTAAAAGAATTTATCTTCAAAACTGGCAGTACCTCATTTCACTAGGCACCAGCCTCCATGCAGGGTACTTAAGTTATAAATGAAGGTTAACATATCACTAGGGGGATATGGTTCATTGATAGACTCAGTGCTGAATGTTATTTATTTTTGCCTAAGTCCGAGGTGTGTTGTGTTTTAATAGAGGGATTCCTGCCCTGAGGCCTAGTGACCTTTCTTACATTATCTTACCAATTTTGCTTCAATAACAATCTAACATTCCCCTAAGGATTGGGGGAATTCCCTCATGTCCAATTCTGGCCCCCATCTTTCCACAAGCCATTCTCAGAACAACTTGCCTCTCTGGATATACTGAAATTCACCCACATCCTTTTTGCACATGTCACCTTTAAAAGGCCATTGACCACACAGACAAGTACAGGCCAGAGCTGCTCTCCATGGTTCCCAGTGTTTGCCATGGACATTGCAGACAAGGGGATACCTGTGTCTCACTCTATGGGCAGGAAGCTAGATGTTCTGTTGGACAGTATGGTGGAGAGGCAGGTCTTCCACATCTCTTAGGACCAGCAGTAGAGGCCATGGCACAAAACCATGCCAGCCTGATCTGAGGTTACCACGCAGGTCAGTGTAGGCTCTGCCATCCGGCGAATGCCCAACACTGTAGGAAGAAGGTCAATGACCTTCCATATTCTGCCAGCATAAGTGCCACAACCTTCTCTCCAATATGCTATTATCTCCAACTCCCACTAAAGCTCATGTTCTACCATTCTCATTATTGCCTACAACATTTATCCTCATTCACTATCAACACTAACCCTGTATGCCCTCTGCACTGCCTACTCACTCACTCAGAACACCTCCCCATCTGTACCAAAAATCTGTCAATTCCATCTCCCTGAATACCTGCACTTTTCTCATTCCAGGAGGAAAGCAGCTCGCAACAAGGCAGAAAGCATCAAGACTGTTAGGGGCTATGTGACATTCAACTCCCTGCCCCTTCCAAGCCCTTGAACGGGTATCAGAGGCTGCCCTTGACTCAATGAGCGATAGCTATCCTCTTGACTTGACTGAAACCTGGTGACAACCATGGCAAGCTCCCTTCCTTTGTGTGAGCACTAAATGGCAAGGCAAAGGCATAGGTGGGCCTGGTATTGGTGGCTGAAGTAGCAAAATGCCAAAAGGCAAGGCAGGGTCAGAGTGAGTGAGCTCCATGAGAGCAAGCAAAGAACCTAGAGGTGCAGCCAGTCCATGAATTCTGTCCATGTCTCTGAGCAGACAATCTCCTTGCTGCAGCATTATGATCATAGTTGCCATTGCATCCCAACGTGCAGCATCGAAATGCAGGGTGTTCTGTAAGTGGGCCTGAAATATGCCAAGAGACTGACACATGTCGGATGCCAACATCCGTCGATGTGGGGTGCACATGACCAGTGCTCATGGTGTGTGCTCTGAAATTGCTTGCCTGATGTCCAACATGGAGATCTTTGGGAGCAAGCAGCAAGCTGAATTCATTAGGTACATGCTCTGTTTTCCAAGCAGGGTTTTCTCGTTATTGTAGTTAACATTTTGGGTACTGTAACCCTTCTGTTCTCTGATTACTCTGATTAACCATTAACTCTGATTTCTCGGCACAGCTGCTGCCAGACTGTGCTGATATTGTCCAGCAATTTCTCTTTTTGTTTCCGGTTTCCAGCATCAGCAGTTCTTTCTATTTTTCTCATTGTCGAGTTTGTTTGGTGAGCTTGGTAAGACAGAAAGCTGAATATTAAAGCAGCAAGATGGTCCACCAACAAGGTGTTTAACAAACTTTAATCACCATCCACTGGCAACTCACTGCTAACTCACCAGGATCTCACCGTACCATTTATGGAAACTATAAAGGATGGAGACAGATGTTCCCAACATCGAGGTGGGCCTTGATGGATTTCTCATCTAATCTTTGCTGTAACCCATATTGTTCAGATCCTTATAAGATTCTGTCCTAAGTTTTGGTGCAGGCTGGTAGTATTGCCCTGATCAATTAATATCACTACTCACGTTGTCCCATAGGAAAATGGGTCAAAGATGTGAATTTGAGGTCAATTAAAGCTGTTGTTATTTTTGGAAGTTTTCCAGCTCAAGAACAGTGAAAATTCTCATTAATCCCATCAATCTCTCTGAGTTGTCTCAGCATTTCAGAACAAATAAGGGAACGTCTGGATTTCTCACTTTCTTGGGGAGATATTTGCTATATTCCTACTGTATTCTATAATAATGAATAGTCCATCTCCAGCTATCTAAAGTCACAGGCATTCCAATGAGTCCTGTCATTGAACCTATTTATGAATATCTGACAGAATTCAAGGATTGGATTCAACATAAGTAAAACTATCAAAGAAGCAAGAGGAATAATGTGCCCAGTATCTAATTTAAAACAAAATCAGCATTTGAAAGATGATGTGAACACAAATATAAATATGAATTAGTGGCAAAGAAAATAAAGGATTGGTGTCCACTCAGTGTAGCTGACTGAATACATGAGCATTTCTTACATTATTTCCTTTACTACCACGGAAGCCTGGTGTGCCACCTCCTCCACGTTCGCCCTGAAGATTAAAAAAAAACAGAAAAAAATGTCAATGTTATTCCAGCTTTTATTTTTGCATTTGCAGCCCCAGCAATTCCCATATGTTGAATAGGACAAAAGAGAGAGAGTGCATAATTATTGTTGCAATTTCAAAAGGGACCAAAGCTTTCCAATATTCCTCAGTTGTTGCAGGGCTTGACTTCATTTACCTTATTTTAGCAAGCAGTTTTTTTGTTATTTTCTCTTCCTGAACTAACAACTGTTGATAATAGTACAGCCTCCCTCCAGCTAGGAAAGCTTACCACACAAATCAGTTGATGGTCCATATTACAGCTTTCAACTTTTAGTCTAACTTTTAGACAAGACCATTTAGCTCCATTGGCTAATGGGTAGCTTCTGCATCAGGTTAAGACTGAAAGCACAGGGTACAATTCACATTCAGGCTGAGGTAGTCTCAGGAATAGTCTCACCTATCAGTAGTACAAAATCATGGCATTTCGCCATGGTTTGACAAACAATAGCCAAGAATGTGCCTTTGGATAGAGAACTGAAGAAGAAAAACACAAGACTTTATTAGCTTGATTATATAAGATTCAGGAATAATCTAATTGAGGTATTTAAGGTAATTCAAGAATTTGATAGGGAACAACAGTACAATTTTGGGGCAGAAGCATGCCATTCCTTCCCTCATGCCTGCTCCTCATTTAATAAGACCACAGCTGATCTGATTAGTCCACATCCTCACCGACCCCAATCACCTTTCACCCCAAGAAAATAAATTGCTGTAGAAATTCAACAGGACAGGCAGTAATTGTGGAGAGAAAAGCAGAGTTAATGTTTCACAGAGTCTTACAGCATGGAAACAGACCCTTCAGTCCAACTAGTCCATGCCGACCATGTTGCCAAACTAAACTAGTCCCATCTGCCTGCGCCTGGCCTATCTCCCTCCAAACTTTTCCTAATCATGTACTTATCTGAATGTCTTTTAAACATTGTAACCGTACCTGCATCCATCACTTCCTCTGACAGTTCATTCCACACATGAAACTCTCTCATGTCCTCTTTAAACTTTTCTCCTCTCAACTTAAAAATATGCCCCCTAGTTTTGAACTCCCCCACCCTAGGGAAAAGACCTTTGCTATTCACTGTATCTACACCCCTCATGATTTTATAAACCTCTATAAGGTCACCCCTCAACCTCCTACGCTCCAGAAAAAAAGGACCCAGCCTAGTTTTATAACTCAGACTCAAAATGGAAAGGGTTCAGAAAAGATTTGCCAGGACGTTGCCAGGAATAGAAGAAACACAGCAGTCAACAGAAAGTCCACGTCAACAGTAATGGGATAATGACTCGATAATCTGTTTTAGTGATGTTGGGGCTGTAAGTATCAGCTACAGCAGCAGGGAAATCTCCCATCCTATTTTTCAAAATAGCACCAATAGATCCATAGGCCGAGGCAGATGAAGTCTTGGTAGCATGTGCCTTAAATAAACTAAAGGGAGTGTGCAGCCTAAAAATATGAGCATTCATTGCACAGGCAGCACAGTTCACACATCAGGGTAAGGGACTTACCGGTACACCTGGGTTTCCTCTTTCACCTGGATATCCTCTGGCATAAGTCTCTTGACCAGGGGTGCCCTGAAATAAAAAAAGCAGGTACCAAATTACAAAATTTTAAGTGGAATTTGGTGCTCAATTTTTAATTTTTCAAATGTCAGGAGAAAAATGTGCTTTGAACCAACCATTTTCATCTTTTAAAGAAACCGCCATTCCAACCTAACTATTATCAATTGTGCTAAAAAGAAGGCACTTGAAAGCCCATTCTAACTCCCTCCATCTGGTGTGGCAATAGTAGGCAAAAAAAAAGGCCATCAGCCATTTTCTGTCAAGTTTACAAATCTATCTTCCATCTTGAGCTGGATCCTGAGATGGGCGGCTCGAGTACCCAATCGTTTTAGGAAGCTCCTTGCAAAATGCAAATTGAGTTCTTGGTAAGACCCTGACTGCAGGTTCCATTCAATTGTTTTATAAGTCAGTGAGTGGCCTTATCAATGCTGCTTAAAGGAACTGCTCGAAACCTCTCAGAATTAAAACAACTTCCTCACACTCCTACAAGTTGGTCTGGACTGCCAGCAACCTCCATATAGCCTTGCCTACCTACTTCACTACCTTTGAGATTGCCTTGCCACCTATTCCTCTCCCAGGCTCCGGTTGTAAATGCAGGCTGATTCCCTCCTCCCCATCTCCTCCAGCATCCACTGCACCAGAGCTCCTGTTTGGTTCCAGAACATCCTATTGGTGAGAAGAGGTAAACAATGGACAGCCCTTTCCCCACACAGTCCACATCTGTAGTTAACGTGGAGTCTCCACATAAACCCCTGCCCAGCATTATGGCCAGGCATTGGTTTATCTTTACTGTATGAGACAATGGGTTTTCTTGTGGCGCATTGTGCGTGCACATCATATGACTCCACCTTTTGCTGTGACATGTGATTAGTATATTATGATTGACTTTGCTATTTTGATTGTCAGTAGGTCAGATGGTACGTTTGGAAAGATACAGATCAAGATTTTGCATTTAGAGCCATTCCTGGGAACTGGGAGACTTTATACAGGAGCAGTATTTAAAGAAACAACAGGACAAAGGAGTGAAGTAGCAAAAGAACTTTTCTTCTACCAATTATCTATTTCCAGTTCTCCACCTAAGCATTGGTCATTTTATTTCTTTATTTGTTGTCATTGTGTGTGTTTCCCCATTACCCTATTTTATTAAACTTAATTTTTTTAATAAATTGTGTTCATTGTTTTCAATGCAGCTTTTCTGTAACATCTCTCAGTTATGAGAAATAGAACAAGATCCAAAATTTTGAGCTGTGTTCACTTTGTGACGTTGGCTGACCTGCAGGGCATTTCCAGTAATTACATTCTTTCTTTCAGAATTCCAACATCTGCAGCCTTTCGCTTTTCATTCACTGTCCCTGATTAGCTGGATATCTGAATCATACTTGTATTGCCATAGCCATACTGCAGCTAGCGGTTTCCTAGTGCTCCATGGATTGTGCTTATCAACAACTTTGACCCACATATGGAATTTTACACACTTAACTCACATATTCAAAATCTCTTCTCTTTCGCCACAAATGTTTCGTGTTCTTTCTGTGACTATGAGCCACAGAATTAATATCCTGTTGGAAGAGCACTTAGCTTGACTTGTCAAACAGCATTTTGTAATTGTAATCTCCTTTCTTGTGCCTAAAATGTTACAGAAACAACTCCTGGAGTTCTAGTGATCAAATGCTTTGTCTGTTTGAAAGCTTCAGCCAGATGGTGTTTCATTTGAAATGTGCGTTCTTCTTTTAAATTTGATTTCAGAGAACTTCTAAAATAACACAACAGAAAGTCCCCAGAAGACCTACTATTATCTGAAATTCTGCTTCTGTTTTTGAGCACACTTCCAATTCAAGACGATTGAAGATCAAGCAAGACACATAACAAGAAAATAATTTGATAGGATAAACTATTTGTACTGGTTGTTGGCCCTTCAGGAGAGCTGGTCAGGTGACCCAGATAGGTGGAGCTTGCATCCAATTTCAAACTGCTGTGGAAGTATGAGCATTGTTAATAAAGTGTTCCTGTTCAGATTTACCATTTGGCTACCTCATTTCCTGGTTCCAAAGGAAGCACCAAACATAACACTGGTGATGGAAGGAGGCATGAGGGAATATAATCTTAAAATTTGAGCTAGGCTGTTTAGAAGGGAAATCAGGAAACACTTCTATCTTATGGGGGATAGTGAAGCCTGGAAATATCTCTGACCAAAGACTGTGGATATTTGGATAATGGCAATTAAAGATTGAGATCAATAGACAGTGGTGGATAAGGATATAAAGGATATAAAGCTATAACATTAGCTATAATCTAAAATACAAATGAGCAGCAGGACAGGTCTGAGGGACCAAATTGCCTATTTCATTCCTCAGACTATCTTTAACTATACATTTCAGTTACAGAACCTTTGAAATGCATGTCATATTTTGCCCTTATTGACTTTGGATATTTCTTCCATGTTTCTTGTTTTCAGGCTTTACTCCTTAGAAGATATCATACTAAGAATTGTTCCTTTACATCACAGCTCACTACAATCAGACACTGTTGTATTACCTCGACACAATGAATGCATGTGAATCATAGGAGAAAGACAAACTGCAATCAGTGCTTGATTTTATATGAATGGGCAGAAATTGGTTGCAGTCTGTAAAGGACCAGGAATTCCATCCATCCATCTCCCACTTTATAATACTCTAAAAATCCAACAGCCCCATGTGTAGGAACATTAATATCTCCCATGTACCTCTCCCCCAATGTGTGTTTCTTTATGTATTTTCGATGACGATGTCTTTGATGTTTTATATTTAAGCTAAATTTCACTCCACAGCTCCCAGATTGTTTATTGGTTTGTGTGCTAGTGCCAAGCTCATAGGAACCAAATGAAATTACCCAGCATTGACCTTCTGCGTCTCTACAGCGGCCTTCTTTATCCCCACCCCCAACTTCAATTGACCACAATATACAATTGCCCACTACATCCAGAACATTAGGCTGAACAGCTGACCCCACATGCTTCAGTGTGGCCCTGAGGGAATGGGATATTACAGAAGAAAATGCACAACCTTGCCTTCAAGGAATAGTACCTAATAGAGAAAATGTTCAAACTAATGGATGTCAGTGACACAGAAAGATTCACTTAAAAGAGGACGTGGATCCTAAATGTGACCATTAGGTTTGACCTCACTACCTGGAAAGAAGCCAAAGTTATTTGCATATAGAAATGTTATTGCGCAAATTGAATTGAGCAACATGTACACACCTCAATTCAAAATTCAGCATGTGTATAAATACTGTGTTGAACAGAATATGCATTTAAAATGATGCATTGCCATGCTGGTGCAAATAAAACAAGTATACAGTTAGTTTGAAATTATCTTTGAAAGACAACATACTATAAAATGAGGCTTTTCCACTTACAGGGTCACCTGGTATTCCAACATCTCCACGCTCACCTTTGAATCCAGGTGGGCCTTTACTTCCCTGGAGAGTTAATATGACAGGTCAAAGTGAGGTAGTTCATTAAAAACTGTGTTGTTTCAAGTTGCGTTCAATAGGTCAGTGTACTTATAAAGTACCAAATATTTTGACATATCAAATGAAGTATATTTATAAATGACTGGAATCAGATATCTGATTAGATCTTTGAATATGTTGTTTTTTTTGTCTTCATTACCATGCAAAAATGAATAAAAATATGTACCCATGTCTGGTTAGCACTGAAAGGAATTCTACTGCTGGTTGCAACAAAGACGAAAGTTTGAACTAGTGGGTGAAATAATTCTACAGAGGCTGGTATCCCATCACCAAGTCACCCTTTATTTACACATGGAAAGTCCTTGACACTGGTCAAGCTCCCTCAGACCCAGCTCTGAGAGTGACAGAAAGTCTAACACTCCTCCTTTTATCTGTCAGCCAGTGCTCCCTGATTGGGCCGGGTTAACAGCCCCAGTCAGGAAACACATATTCTGTGAGGTCTGTCTGGCTGACTTTGTTGCAATCACTACAGTGGGTAAAGTTGATAAAGCTTTGGTAAAAATATGCGGGATCATTAGCTTCACAAATAGAAGAACACAGACAGAAACGTCAAGAATGAATTGCCTGAAAAAGTGGAAGCAGATTCTATGGTAACTTTTAAATTAGAACAGGATGTGTACCCAAGGAAAGGAATTGCATAGCTATGGGGAAAGAATGAAAGGCTCAATCTAATGGAATAACTCTTTCAAAGATTTGGCACAGTGAATGAAAACTCACATGTAACAATAAAATCGTTCTCCTGTATGGTATATAGTGATGTGAATCAATGGCTCTGGTGGGAACCTTTCAGACCATCATTTCTGTGTTCTGGTAATTACTCATTAGGCTAATTGTTTTAATTTGGTTTTTGTCAGACTTTCCTACTTCAAGTGGTTAATAACATGCATCTGTAATCTCGTGGTCATCACAGGCATTCATGGTAATACATTCATTTTCCAAAATTCAAATTAATTATCAAATTACCAGGAATGGGTGAATGGAGAACTGGGAAGTCAATAAGGCTTTGAATACTTTGTTAATATTGGGAGGATGAAATAATATTCAAATTAAACAGACATAATTTTTAAGGGTATACAATGCACATATTTTAATAAATGTTTAAATAAAAAGAGTCTCTTTTTACAGTATTTCCATTATCCCCTTTTGGTCCAGCAATTCCAGGAATTCCAGGCTTCCCCTGTGAGAAGACAATATTTAGAATTCACTTGTCAATTAATATATATATATTAAGCAAAAGAAAGAAAAATCACAAAGTGAAAACAGGAGAAAATTACTTTTACATAGAACCTTTCACAACCTCAGAACCACACAAAGCTTTTTACAACCAAAACATTATGTTTTAAGTGAAGTCACTATTGTAACGTGAGAAATTTAACAGCCAAATTGCAAGGTCCAACAAGTAATTTCAGAGGATCAGGAAAGCAGGAAGGGTCCAGTACTGAAACATCGACTTTCCTGCTCCTCTAATGCTGCCTGACCTGCTGTGCTCCTCCTGCTCCACATTTTATCGACTCTGACTTCCAGCATCTGCAGTCCTTACTACATCCAACAAGTAATTTGTTCATTTTTTTGTGGTATTTGTTGAGGGATAAATATGCAATAAGAAGCAGTTCATTCCTCTTCGAAATAGTAACACATGATCTTTTACATCCACTGTTTCCAATACATTTTGCCTTAGAGAAAGGAATCTTCCCTCACTGTACTCTTACATTCATCTGAGAAAGTCACTAGGGGCTTATTCTGACATTTTATAGCACATCTGACATGCAGCACTTCTGTACTTTATGGGGAGTATTAATCTAGACTACATGCTTATATGTGACTTGCACTTACAATTTTCTGATTCCAAGACTATAGTACTATTCACGGAGCCAATATTGACACATTATTACCTTAAACAAGACTAAATGGATGCTCTCACTAAATATGTGAGACAGAATTGACTGGATATGTCCATGAGTTTATTCTTTATTCATTCAGGGGATGTAGGCTTGCTGGCTGGACTAGCATTCATTACTCATCCCTAATTATCCTTGAGACAGTGGTGGGAAGCTGCCTTCTTGAACTGCTGCTGCCCTTCATTTGGTGTAGGTACATCCACAATGCTATTAAGGAGGAATTTCCCTAAATTTGAACCAGCGATAGTGAAAAAATGGCAATATCTTTCCAACCAGGATGGTGAGTGAAGGGCAGCATGGTGGCTCAATGGTTAGCACTCCCACCCTGTGTGGAGTTTGCACACTCTCCTGTGTCTGCATGGGTTTCCTCCAAGTGCTCCAGTTTCCTCCCACAGCCCAAAGATGTGCACGTTGGGTGAATCGGCTATGCTGAATTACCCATAATGCTGGGAAATGTAGGGTTGCAAGGACAGCGTGGGAGGGTGGGGGTGGGTCTGGGTTGGATGATCTTCGGAAGGCTGGTGTGGACTTTATGGGTCAAATGGCCTGGTTTAGTGCTATAGGGATTCTATGATATGGTCCAAGAGGGGAGCTCCATGGAAAAGCAGCTCTAACTATTCTTTTAAATCATTCGGGGGAGTCACTAGCAAGGTTAGCATTTGTTGCTCATCTCTAATTGTCCTTGAGCACAGTTAAGAGTCAGCTACATTGCTACATGTCTGGAGTCACAAGTAGGTCACAACAGGTAAGGAGGACAGGTTTCTTTCCCCAAGCAACATTAATGAATCAGATGGGTTCTTTTAGAGACAGTTTGTGATAGTTCATGGTCACTATTATACAGCTTACAATCGAACTGAAATTTCACCAAATGCAAGTGTGGGATTTGTTCCCAGGTTCTTCATTAGCCTAGGGTTCTGCTTTACTGGTGCAGTGGCATTAACACTACATCACCAATTCCCCCACTACACATCAGACTATGGGAAAATCAGCTGTAGATGCTATTCTCCTTGGCTCTACATCCAGAGAGAGCACAAGAAGACATTATGTTAGGACAATATTGTTTTTGCACATGATACTTTTCTGTGGGAGCATAGCCTTCCAATGCCCACTTTCTAGGCTTAACCTTGCAGCGGTCACTTGAGTGATGAGGTGTTGGATGACTGGTGTCCACTAATCTGTGCCTTGACATATTAATGGGCATTGAGTGCAGAATACTGAAGTCAAAGAGATAAATCTCAACTAGTCTTCCACTCATGACTGAACCAGGTGAAAATAGTAACAAATGTGTGCTTCAAATGTGTTCAGTTGCAAAATGTACCTTTCTTTATGGTATCCTATCAATCTTTCTGGTTTCTAGAAAATGGTATAAACATACAAGAAGGGTAGACTAACAATTTACATCTTAGTTTTGGACTTCTGGCTATATACTGCTGATAAACACCTGCTGCCCATAGTGTACAATCTATCTGACGCACCATGTTGAATTGCTAAGAGCAGCCTCTCCACAATGAGCTTGAATACTAAAGTACCTGCTCTCCATTTGTCCCAGGTGCACCATTGTCAGCTGTTTCACCCTGCCAAGGAAACATTAATCCACCAGTGAACCAGTCTGAGAACAATCAAAAACTAACACAATAGTAGCAAAATAAAGTATATCTTGTAATTAAGCATTAAAAGTTCTCATCAAAGCTGAAAATATATTTACCTTCTCGCCTCGATACCCTCTTTCTCCCTGGATGAAAAAGATTGTCAGTTAACAATGAAAATATAAATCGTCAAATGATCCACAAATGAAGTTTGCTCAATAAACACAAACCATCAGGCCCCTGGTGCCTTGGCATCCTTCAGCTCCTCGAGGTCCTATAATGCCTGGAGGGCCCCTTTCACCCTAAGAAAGACCAAAGAATAATTGGTGATAAAGTAAAAGGGCCCTGTAGCACGATATCAGCATCAAAGTGCTCCCAACACATCCAGGATTCAACAGTGCACTGTGTTTGAAAATACCAGTACCCATGTGTTGAATCAGGCAGCAAAATACTCTCAGAGATTACAGAGATTTTATTTTAAATCTATAGTTTAGAACAAACACCTTCTGGGCCCTTTTCCTGTCCAGAAGCTAACACCCCACTGGCATAAAACACAGTTCCTTTTCTTTTTGGTTAGACCACCAGCAAATCACCCATGTTACCAATTAAACAATTAACATGCACTGTTCACCAGTGGCAAAGCAACAATAACAAAAGGCAGGTATAGGGAAAAAAGGAGGGGATTAAATTAAAATGGAATTGGAGGAGAAATAATGCACTCCAACCCCACAGTGCCCAAATATCTCCAAAGGAGAAATGAACTCTTTTTAACCATTTCCTTAAATTTTATTTTCTTAAAATATGAGACCCCTTAGTTTTAAACAGTGACCCCTTGTTCTAAATATTTTTAATCATAATGTGTTATAATACATTTCTGGAGCTGGCAGGACTTGAACCTGTGCCTCCTAACTCAGAGACAGTGAAGAGAATGCAGGTCTTTTTCATCCTTCTTTATTCAAAGATGCTATTACACACTTCCTGAGCAGGCAGGTCATGAACCCTGGACCTCCTGGCAAAGTCCAATGAGCATTTCCTACTTTCAATCAAACTCTACAGTTGTTTGGCTTGAGCCTTAAAGGGACCTTTCTAATTCTGATATCTCATGAATTTTCCTTTGCCTTAGTCAGGAAGACTCAAAGAAAAGTCTGAAACCAATGAAATTATTAAAGTATTTATAGTTTCATTCCCTTTTCTGTAACATGAGTGAAAACTCCAATCAGATCTCACAGTAACTGGGCAGATCATTTTCAACTTCACTTCTTTAGCAATACTCTGAATGCCTCAATGGATAAAAATACTGCCAAAAGTAAGTGGCAACACTCCTGGGAACACAGCAACAATGTAAGGCCTTCAGACTGTTGAGCCTTTATTACACTCTAATTCGATCATGGCTGATCTTAACTCCTTTTCCTATCCTGGTTCTGTGATTCTTAATATCCTTATTTAACAAAATCTAGCGATTGTCATTAGAAAATGTTGATTGAACTAGCCTCGACACCTTTTGTAGGGAGAGACGTTCAGATTTTTACTAGCCTTTCTGTGAAGAACTGTTTCCTAATACTACGCTGAAAGGCTGTGGTCCACTTTTTTAGGATTATGCCTGGTTTTTTTTTGGGAAAACACTGCCAGAAAAAATGGCATTTTGAATCGTTTAATCATCTGAAACATCCCTCCTTAATCTTTTATAATTAAGAATCTGAAAAATAACCTCTACTGCTCCGGTGTCAGAATATTTTCTTCTCCCACCAACCCCACCCATTCCACCAAAACATTATTTTCATGCAGAGGGTGGTGCTTGTATGGAATGAGCAGCGAGAGGAAGTGATGGAGGCCGGTATAATTACAACATTTAAAAGGCATCTGGATGGGTAGATGAATAGGAAAGGTTAAATGTTTATGGACCAAATGCTGGCAAATGGGACTAGGTTAATTAGGATATTTGGTCAGCTTGGATAAATTGGACTGAAGGGTCTGCTACTGTCTGGTACAACTCTATGACTCTAAGTGAATTAGTCCTAATGGCAGGGGGCATTAGGAAAACTATTGTCAATTCAGTTCGGGATGAGAGGTGCCTGACACAGGATACCCACTCTTTAGCAATGGAATATGTACATACGTATTATGAATAAAATTGGGTTAATCAGCCTCTCAAATCTGCTCCACCAGTCAATAAGGTTATGGTTGATTTATCTGTGTTTTGAATTCCACATTCCCATCTCCCCTGATAACTTTTGATTCCTTCACCAAATGAGAATCTATTTACTTCTGCTGTAAAGATAATGCATGACTCCCAGTCCAACACCGCAACCCCACCAGCACCCCCACCCCACCCACCCCCCTGCCACTCCCCAGAGGCAGAAAGTTCCAAAGTTATAAAACAATTAGAGAAAAACAATTCTTTCATCTCTGTCCAAAACAAGAGCAATCCCTAATTTTAAAAGAATGCCCACTGTTTCTGGACTCACCTACAAGAGGAAACATTATTTCTACATCCACCTTATCAACACTGTTCAGGGTTGAATCAAATCATCCCTCACTCTTCTCAACCCCGGTGAAAACAAGCCCAGTCTGTCCAACTTTTCATCTTAAGACAATCCAAAGATTCCAGGTATCAATCTAATAAACCTCCTCTAGATTACCTCTAAAAGTTGCATCCTTCAATAAATAAGGACTCTGAAACTGAGCACAGGATTTGAAATGCCCTGGAATACAGACACACAATATCCTTACTTTTATCTTCAATTCCTCTCCTAATAAAATGTAACATTCCATTAGCTGTCTTGATTACTTGCTGTACCTGCATACGAACATTTTGTGACTTAAGCACTAAATCCCTCTGTACCTCAGAATTCTGCAGCCATTCTCCATTTGGGTAATATTCTGCTTTTATCTTCTTCCTGCCAAAATGAACAATTTCTCATTTTCCCACATTAGACTCCATCTGTCAGATTTCTGCACACTCTATCAACCTGTTTAGATCAGTCTGAATCCCCCTTATATCCTGTTCACAACATACTTGCTTATTTATTTTTGAATCATTTATAAAATTAACCAAAATACTCCTCAATCCTCTCATCTAAGACATTGATATAAATTGTAAAATGTTAAAACCCTGGCACAGAATCCTGTAAGACACCTCTCTTCACAACTTGCCAATGAGAAAAATGACCAGCCAGTCCATCTTCTAACCATACTAATATGGACCCCAATACCATATGCTTTTACTTTTGCGATAGCCTTTCATATGGCACCTTGTTTAAATTCAAATTCTGGAAATTCAAAGTTCAGTACATCAACAGGCTCTTCCTTATCCTTGAAGGACCTCCAATAAATTGAATAAATTGATTTGCCTTTTACAAAACCATATTGACTCTTCCTGATTGTGTTGAGTTTTTCCATGTGCCTAACTATAACCCCCTTAATGATCAACTTGAACACCCCCATAACAGATGTCAAGCTAACTGGCCTATACATTTTGACTCCCTCCCATTTTGAATACAAGGGTTATATTTACTGATTTCCAGTCTGATCAAGCGTAGCGAGTGTTTTAATATTAGCGACATCACATTTTGTACCTATTTAGCAGTGTCTTTTAAGACCCCATGATGAGGTTCATCTGGACCTGGAGACTTGCCAGTAGCCATCTCCATCTGTTTGCTTGGTACCATGGTCTTGCTGACTATAATTTCAACAAGTTACTTTCCCCCTTTCAACTCCTGATTTAAAGCTAATACTGAGAGTATTTTTCTATCCATTACAGTTGAAATAACTCCACGGATGCTGGTATCCCCTCAGCACGTCACCCTTTATTTACACGCACACAGTACATGGATTGTGACCAGCTAGCTCAGAGCCAGCCCCTACAATGAGAAGAATCCCCGAGACTCCTGTTTCCATCTGTCAGCCAGGACTCCCTGATTGGCCCTGATTAACAGCCCCCAATCAGGGAACTTATACTCAATGAGATCCAAGTGGCCAAACTCATTTCAATCACTACAATAGTACAGTCAGAAGTAAAAAATATGTTCCTTTCATCTATTTCCTTATTATCTACTGTTAACACTCCATTCTCATCCTCTAGAGAACCATCACTTTATTTACACTTCTTTTTAGATACCTATAGAAATTCTTCCTATTTATTTTACATTGCTAGCTAGCTTGCTGTCATATTCTTTGTTTTTACTCTTGATTAAGCCTTCAGTCATTCTCTGTCATTTTTTATAATCAGACCAATCATCAGTCCTAATGCTCCATTTTGTGCAATTATCTGCCAATTAGGTTAATCATTTAGCAATTTAAAGCCTGTTATCCCTGAGCTCATTGCAGTTATTATTGGCTAAAGGGTTTATTGTGACTCAAGCAGGTCTCCTGTAGTTCCTGAAGGCTGCCCAGCAAACTGTGTTAAAATTGGCTGCAGCCTCATAAGGTGGTTCCCTTATTGAAGGCACTAGTCCTTGATTAAGAACCCAGCATTAGGATGATTGAGGGGGCTACTGAAAATCATGCCCCTGCCATTGCGTTAGAATCCCTGCTCATCAATGACCCTCTCCCCATGTCACCCTCATCCTGCTCCTCTCTCCAGGGATCCAAAATTGATCCTCAGAGCTTTGCTGGTAGCAGCCTCTGCTCCCAGTGACATGACCAGGCATGGAGAGCTGCCAACCGCTGACTGGCTAGCAGCCATGGGAGGCAGCCTATACACCCTACAGCAGCTGTAACAGAGTCAGGTTTCCCAAGGTTAGCCAGTTAAATGCTTGAGTGCACAAATTCCATTGGGCCTCCTGCACAGAAGTGATAAGTGGCTCCCAATAGTTCTTCAGCTGACGGAGAGATCCATGTCGGTCGAACCAAATTCAATCCATTACAGTGCAGAAAGAGGCCATTCAGCCCATCGAGTCTGCACCAACCTCAGAACAGCATCCCAACCTCCCATCCTAACCCCATAAACATACAATTACCATGGTTCATCCACCTAATCTACACATCCCTGGACACTAAGGGACAATTTGGCATGGCCAATCCACCAATTGACGTGCACACCTTTGGATTGTGGGAGGAAACCAGAGCACTCCACAGAAAACCATGTAGACACAGGGAGAAACTGCAAACACCAGACTGACACCTGTGGGTGGAATCAAACCCGGGTCCCTGGCGCTGTGAAGCAGCAGTGCTAACTACTGAGCCACCATGCCACCCTGTGTCTCTTCTCCAAAGTGTCTCTTTTCTGTATGGAATTTGGCAATCTGCACCAAATTGTAAGACATCTCAAGTCTTTTAAAGATGGTTAGTTTGATGCCATTTCTGACACCATACACTCATTTTGTCCAGAGCCCAAAATTTTGTTGACTCAATCAACAATAATCCCAGATAACAAGGTGCAGAGCTGGATGAACACAGCAGGCCAAACAACATCAGAGCAGCAGGAAGGCTGACGTTTCAGGCCTAGACCCTGTTTTTGCTTAAGGAAGCCCAGAGTTTTTTTTCTCATTTCAGTGCAAAACATTATTCACCTCAATAAATAATCTCAGCTTGTCAACTTACCATACCTCCATCTTCGCCCGCGTAACCCAATGCTCCCAGTGGTCCTGAGATCCCCTGAAATAATACCAGTTGTATAAATCGTAAACCAACAAGCATAGGTTCAGTGCGGAACTTTTCACTATTAGGTTCATCAATTAATTTCAATACATATTTGAACTCATTGGTACGATCAATAACCCAGACGCCAGGAAGGATTCAAGTTCAATCCTTGGTTTTGAATACACTTTGTTCATGTTGTCTGTTGGTTTGCCACTCATAGTCTTAAGATTGGGGAAAATTCAAGGTGGGGTCTGCTCTGCCTCAGCAAACACTACAAGGTCCTTCACAATACACAGGAGTTGTATCCACATTTTATTTTGTCCATGGTGAGTCCGTGTCCTTATCCCTCGTAGATAACAAGGACTGAGTGTGGTGCTAACTGAGTTCCTGCCAAGCTGAAAGACGGGACCCTGCAATTGTCCTCAAAATCCCCAGCTCACAAAACAAAGAAGAAAATTGGGTGTCTTCCCCACGTCTCTGTCCAGCAAAATATTCCATTTGACAAATTGCCTCAGGCACTTTAGAGCCACATTTCTGCTCCCCAAGCAGCACACCCAAAGCGATTCTACCAGGAGTGTGGTGGACAGCTCAGCAAGTCAATAAGAGTTGGTGGATCCTCTGCTGCTGGTTGTTGCTATGGTAACATTATTGGGGTGGATGCTTTTGTTGCCCTGATATCAGTGGCCAGTAGTAGGCTGTTTACTCATTCGTAGCTTATATTACAATCAGAGGCTTGTTTATAAGACATAACAAGGTATGAAAGTCCCCTCAGTGTAGTCCCACATAGGTGTCATGGCCTGGAGTGTACTCCCTGGCCCCTCCTCTACTTATTGGGGAAAGATCAGCCCACTCACAAAGGGAAACAATAAGGCCTTCAAGAACTGTCAATGATACGATGACTAAAAATGGACAGTTGACAGCACGTCTTCATTCCTCATAGCCCATCAATCCCTGATATGTTGATGTTCCATCAGTAACATTCTGATGATCAAACTGATCAGCAATACTTTGACCAAGGTGGTAGGTTCAGGAGCAGACACTCCTGCTAGCCGCCTCTATGTCAGGGTAAAATGATCGGTTGAATTGCAGTCTTCACAGTCTAAGTCTGCCAATGGAGGAGGTTTTACGAGTGGGGACCTAATGTCTCCATTTTGGGTCTTTGAGGAAAAAAGCAGAAAAACAATTGGAGACAGGTTTTCCTAACTTTCTAACTTATCTCCCACCAATGCTCTCTCCTGTCCTCCCCTGAAGACCTTGATGGTTCTATGCTAGTGTAAGGTTCCACGGATATCAGGCATCTTCTGATTCTCACCAAAGAGGCTATTAATTACAGGGAGCTGAGGTACCATTTCATCGCATGGCGTATGAGAGTCAATCTCAATCGTGATACGATTCATTTTTCATGCATAGGCAACTCTCAGCTTTGGTTTCTGTGTAGCATCAGAAATCCAGTTTTTTTTATAATTCATGGTTATGTAATTAATTTTGGAGATTCTTATTAGTGCTTGGCTGAGGTCAGCAAAATTAGCACAGACCTAACATAAGCACAGAAACTTACTGGCAAACTCACTGTTCCACTAGATTGATGAGAAATGTTTTCTAATTTCATCATGCAGTGACAGTGGAGACTTTGTCCCAGTGTCAGCATGGCGAGGCACCCACAGAAGTCCTCTTAGCAGTCCAGTCAAAATTAATGGGGTCAAGAGGCAGTTCTCTTCATTTACACAACTACTGTCTCCTCCTGCCATTATAGGAACTGTAAACTATCAAACAGGCTGCAGGATCCAGAATGGAGTAGCAATTTCATCCGTCAGTACCACACCTCCCCTCTTCCATCAATTGCCCCCAACATCCATTCCCCTCCCTATTTCCCCAAGAAAGAAGGAAGCCCAAAATGGTGGACGGGAGAGAATCATGGCTGTAAAAGGTATTCCTTTTTTTGAGGATTTTTTTCAGTGCTGGAGCTGATGGAAAATTTTGGAACATTGCATTCAATTCTGGTCTCCCTGCTATAGAAAAGCTATTGTGAAACTTGAAAAGGTGTAGAAAAGATTGTTGCCAGGGTTTGAGGGTTTGGAGAGGCTCAATAGACTGGGGTTGTTTTCCCTGGAGCATCGGAGGCTAAAGGGTGACCTTATAGAGGTTTATAAGATCGTGAGGGGCATGGTCAGGGTGAATAGCCAAGGTCTTTTTCCTAGGGTGGGGGGAGTCCAAAACTAGAGGGCATAAGTTTAAGATGAGAGAGGAAAGATTTAAAAGGGGTAACATTTTCATGTAGATGGTGGTGCATGTATAGAATGACCTGCCAGAGAAAGTGATGGAGGCTGGTACAATAACAAAATTTAAAAGACATCTGGATGGGTATATGAATAGGAAGCATTTAGAGGGAGATGGGCCGAATGCTAGCAAATGGGATTAATTTAGGTTAGGATATCTGGTCAGCATGGATGAGTTGGACTGAAGGGTGTGTTTCTGTGCTGTACAACTCTAAAGAGTTCATTATCATTCCAATTTGCAAGTGAGCCAAATTGTTTTTCTTGAATATAACCCTAAAGTTCTGGTGCATCCCACCATTTGACAGTTCGGTCTTGTTCACCAATAATCCACCCAGTGACTGGAAGACAAAGGGCAGAAGAAGACTCATGCTATGTGCTTGTCTCTGGCTTCCTCTCATGCCATTAAAATGTAGTTGGGTTGATTTGAGGTTACAGTCATTATAAGACAACCTGGAAACTCTATTGTAAGCTGAAAGTTGGAATATCAAGGTACTAGTTATTTGTGTGGTCCCTCTCCCATATTCCCAACAAAATTACAATAGAATTCCATTAGAATATTGCCTCATAATTATAAAGAACTCTTCAGATCCCATCACAACATTCTCACCAACATTAAAGGTCATTAAATTGGTTTAATGTTTTTTTAAATGACAAATGGAAATTCTTAAAAATTGTTGTTGTAGAAAATCACTGCAGAGACTTTTATTTCCTCATTGTTGCTCAAAGTATTCAAATCATATAAACATACATGCAGTTTGTGCTGCTAAATTAAAACATCTTTTTGAATTTGTTCTTGGAATGAGGCCTATATTAATTGTTCATCTCTAGTTACCCTTAATCAGCTAAGTGGCTTAATAGGCCACTTCAAATAGCATTTACAAATCAACACATTGTAAGATGGATTCTACTGGACTTGAAACGATAACTCTGTTTTTCTCTCTCCATAGTTGCCATCAGACACACTGAGTTTCTCACGCATTCTTCGTCTTTATTTCAGATCACCAGCATCCGCTGTACTTTGCTTTGGTATGCAGTCAGAGTCAACTACTGGGCAGATCTCTTACAAACCATAAATGATTGTAACAGAATGAGGCCATTCAGCCCACTGAGTCTGCTGCAAGGGCAGGTTTGCTTCCAGTAGGCCATTCATGAACCAGCTGGATTTCTGCAAAACTCTAACAGCTCTGTTGTCATTGTCACTGATTTATATATTTATTTTAATCTGAATTTATCTGGTGGGATTTGAATGGTATTTTCTGATTAATAATCCAGCAGCATAACCACTACTGTACCTGAACCATTCTAACAAGCCTTATTCCGAACAGTAACAGTTATATTTTGCCTTACTTTAATTCCTTGCTCTCCTTGTTGTCCATGTTTACCCATTTGTCCAAAACACTTGCAAATTATATCACAGCATTCTCTTTCTGCAACCGTGTCCTGGAACAACATACAATTTTGAGAATGTTTAATCATGGCTTAACAACTTTTTTTTAATGATTGACATATTATCCTGTCTTATTTTTGAGTCTGTTTAGGGTGAGGAACAATTAGCTTCATAAAGCACCGCAATGAGTGAGTTTTCTTTGAACTGTCACATGCTCCCTTCAAACTGAATACCAAACATCGCATCCAGTTCTAGCCCCCAAGACAGTAGTTCATTGGTTAGCACTACTGCCTCACTACTGGTTCAATTCCACCATCAGGGGACTTCTCCCTGTGTCTGTGTGGGCAGGCTAGGTGGACTGGCCATAATAAATTGCCCATAGTGCTGAGGGATGTGTAGACTGGTGGGTCTGGGAGGGATGTTCTGAAGGTCAGTATGGACTTGCTTAGCTGAAGGGCCTGTTTCCACACTGTAGGGATTCTATGTAAATTAATAGAAGCATCTGGTTTGAAGGCTGGTAAATAAACTACAAGTTATTGCAGTTCAAAGAATAGCCAATATTTAACTAATATATGTCAGACTTGGACATGGGGAAAGCAAGAAACAATGGATGGCCACTGTCAGAGTTTCTTGTTGGAGATGAGATGTTGACTGTTGATTTCATAAGTAGTTTAGATTATTTATATGGTTTCCCAGAATAAAGGGTAGATTTGAAAACAGGATACAATGAGTCCTTTCCTTGACTTCGTCCCTCAATATTGAGGCTGGCAAGGAGGAAGCTCTGGTGCTAGACCTCACCTGTTCCAAGCAAACTTGTGGACAGGTTGGTGGCAAGCAGGTGGGTAGTGGGAAAGCCATCCAGAGATATCTCGTGGACTCCAAAGCCCCAAGTGAGGAGCTAAAAAATTCTGTTCATAATTTAGACGATATAAGTGATATCTATTTTTGAAGAGCTAGGTCTCCAAATTTAAGCTCTTGGCTATATGTCTTAACATCCTATGAGCACCCACATATTGAACTAATTATGCATTTTGCTGCACAGTAACTAGTAATACCTTTGTCAACGAATTCACTCATCATCATTCAAATGTCTAAATGAGGTCAATTTAGAAAACAACAAATAACTGAATCAATGGATTGTTCTTTGAAATTAGCTTTATCCTGAAGCTTTCTGCTGATTTACATTTTCTTTCAGAGTTACTTACAATCTCAGTGTGCAATACACCCCCGATATCATGCATTCCAATGGCTAGTTTGCGGTTGTAGCCAAATCCTCTGCCAAAATCCAGTTCATGAAGCTCATCAACATTTGCAGTGTTTTCCAGAGCAACTGTGATTAGTGCATTGACACCTGGTTGGAAGATTAAATATTGATTGCCCAATGTTAAAATGTGTCTCCATTGATCATATCATTAATCAGTGTGGTCCCAATGTGGAATGACTTAAGGACTCATCCGCATGTTGGGTTCTAGCAATTAATGGGCATTTGATACGAGCCAAATATTCTGCCCGTTCATAATTTTTCCGCAGCAAAAATGTATCTATTGGCAATTGCAGAATGCATTGCAATGAAGTTCTGCTTTTTATACGTACTGCCTTCAAAATTGCATTGTCAGATTGATTTATTAAGTTTTGCCTATCCTTCAACCCAGGTATTCTGTTGACAGATTTCTCCTCTGTTCTTTATTCCCAGTTAAGATATGGGCAACATTCTGGATGGGGTCCACCACTCTTTTTCCTTCTCACCACACTCTTCTTCCCTGTAGGGATATGCACCTTTTCTATATGGGAAGACTTAGTTTCTTGCCCAGCTTAAATATCCTATAGTCACAGGATTCTACTTAGGTTGGCAGTCAAAAGCAGCATGAATTAGTTCTTTTCCAATTGTAACTACTTAAAAAAAATTCTCCATTTCCTTCAGAATGTGACAAAACCAAAAGAAGCATGAACGCAAACATTCCAGAAGGTGCAATCTTTCAAGAAACTCATTATTAAAATCTCAAGTGTTTTTCTGTCATTGAAAGCGTGGCCTTGCATAAGACAGAAATGAAAGAAATAGAATCTTTGAGCATTCAGCAAATTGTTTGTTAAAATCTTGTCACGAAGACGGAAATGGACACAAATGTTTCTTATAACTTTGTTTTGATTACAACAGTGGAATCTCTTTGTTCTAAATGTCCCATATTTTTATGAAAACTGAAGGAGAATATCCAATATCATATCAAAAAGAGAAATTAACATCTGTTGCAGATGCAGTTGCCAAAACCCAATAGAAAATGCAATTCCTGAATGCTTATCTCGGGGGTTCATTCTTACACTAATTGTACACTTTCCCCTCTAATGCATTTTCACTGTTATCTCATAGGCTAATGCAAGCCAACAAATCAATAAATATAAATTATACATGCAAAGAAAGACTGCTGTGAACATAAAGTTTCTAATTAATTGCACTTGATTAATTTATATCCTTTAATTATCTTGCTAAGCCACAGACAGCATAAATATCTTTGCAATCTTGTTATTGCTATGCCAGTCATAAAAGGGAAGATCAAACTATGTCAATGGAGCTCAGCCAGTTCAACTTTAAATACAAATGTTTCATAAAGGATACTGAAGTTCACCTTAAATGCTGGTGGTGCGTTCAAGCAGGACAAGATATATTATCTTTGCTTCATATGCAGCATCCAAAACCCTGTTATGACTTACCTTAATAAAACCATTTTATTGTTGAAAAATGTTTTCCTTGGGATACTTTGTCAAAGTCATTTGTTATTGTTCAGCGCCAACAGTCAATACAATCAGTATGCCTCAGTGTTTTGAAAACACGCTCACAGATAAACCTCTGTTACTTACCATTAAGCCGGAGTCTGTTTGACGCTTCCTTAAGTCTATTCATGCTGTCCGCTACTCCGTTCGTAAACATCACTATCACCTGGAAAGAGAGAGAGAGTTGTAAAAATATTAGAAGGGACGGATTGGAATATTCTGTTGTTTTCACTGGGGATAGTCTGTGATAACTGAATGCCAAGTAGGGTTTCATATAGCACTAGCAATAGCGGACAAAGTAAAATAGACTTATAGAACTAATAAGACATATTGCCACAAAAAATTAGGTTTTGAATTAGTCCAGATAATAATGTACTGGAAGGATTAAATACAGGCAAAAGGAAGGTAAATGCACCATTATCATATTTGGTTAATATGGCACAAGTCAAAATTAGCACAGAAATAATGAATGAATGAATCCCAGGATTTTCCCAAGGAACAGTAAATAGGTGCTTTATGTGGAAGTTAAGGTATCATTATGCATTGAACTTCTTAAAGCTAAAAGGTAGAGTCCTAAACATAATGAAGACAATGGAAGTTAAGGATCAATCTGAACAAATTATACTGGTCACAAGACAGTTTGCTCCTGCGATGGATATGTTTATCATTGATTCTTTTAACTGAGGATGATTAGATATCACCTGCGCTTCAAAAATATGTCAAGCAGATTTGTTAAAATTTTAAAACACAGAGAATGCTGGAGAAACTCAGCAAGTTGAAGGAATGTAAAGGTTCTTCTTCCTTGAAGTTTGGTGGTGACAGCACATCCATTTCACTATAAGAAGCTGGAATTCAATGTAAATTAGCTGCAATTACTTCATCATGATCTGCATTTTAGCTAGATACGGTATTATTGTATCCCGAGAGCAACTCCTGATAGATCCCATCAGAGTGTTAGCCTAGAATTGATTGTGGTGATATCACATGATAAGTATCAGAATGAAATAAAATCTTACTCATTGTCCATTAATGATTAGAATCTCTGCTAAAAATTCAAGTGCAGTTGATGTAGAGTGTGCGAGGTGAATATTGGTAAAAAAATTAAAGGATGATGGCACATCCTGTCAGTTTTCAATTGGCACATGACTTTAATGAGTTGTTAAGGATCTAAAGGTACATTGTAAAAGATAGAAATATCCAGGAGTTAGAAATCCTAATTTTATAGACTTGGCAACCAGATTTAGTCATTCATGGAAATATGGATAAAACGATTGCTGTAGATCAGCACTTCCCAAAATTTGAGTTGGAACATAGAACATTACAGCGCAGTACAGGCCCTTCGGCCCTCGATGTTGCGCCGACCTGTGAAAACCAATCTGAAGCCCATCTAACCTAAACTATTCCATTATCATCCATATGTTTATCCAATGACCATTTAAATGCCCTTAAAGTGGGCGAGTCTACTATTTTTGCAGGCAGGGCATTCCACGCCCTTACTACTCTCTGAGTAAAGAACCTACCTCTGACATCTGTCCTATATCTATCACCCCTCAATTTAAAGCTATGTCCCCTCGTGCTAGCCATCACCATCCGAGGAAAAAGGCTCCCACTGTCCACCCTATCTAATCCTCTGATCATCTTGTATGTCTCTATCAAGTCACCTCTTAACCTTCTTCTCTCTAACGAAAACAGCCTCAAAACCCTCAGCCTTTCCTCATAAGACCTTCCCTCCATACGAGGCAACATCCTGGTAAATCTCCTCTGCACCCTTTCCAATGCTTCCACATCCTTCCTATAATGCGGTGACCAGAACTGTACGCAATACTCCAAGTGCGGCCGCACCAGAGTTTTGTACAGCTGCAACATGACCTCATGGCTCCGAAACTCAATCCCTCTACCAATAAAACCTAACATACTGTACGCCTTCTTAACAACGCTATCAACCTGGGTGGCAACTTTCCGTGATCTATGAACATGGACACCGAGATCTCTCTGCTCATCCACACTACCAAGAATCTTACCATTAGCCCAGTACTCTGTATTCCTGTTACTCCTTCCAAAGTGAATCACCTCACACTTTTCCACATTAAACTCCATTTGCCACCTCTCAGCCCAGCTCTGCAGCTTATCTATGTCCCTCTGTAACCTACAGCATCCTTCTGCACTATCCACAACTCCACCGACTTTGGTGTCATCCGCAAATTTACTAACCCATCCTTCTATGCCCTCATCCAGGTCATTTATAAAAATGACAAACAGCAGTGGCCCCAAAACAGATCCTTGAGGTACACCACTAGTAACTGAACTCCAGGATGAACATTTCCCATCAACCACCACCCTCTGTCTTCTTACAGCTAGCCAATTTCTGATCCAAACCGCTAAATCACCCTCAATCCCATGCCTCCGTATTTTCTGCAATAGCCTACCGTGGGGAACCTTATCAAACGCTTTACTGAAATCCAAATACACCACATCAACCGCTTTACCCTCATCCACCTGTTTGGTCACCTTCTCGAAGAACTCAATAAGGTTTGTGAGGCACGACCTACCCTTCACAAAACCGTGTTGACTATCCCTAATCAAATTATTCCTTTCTAGATGATTATAAATCCTATCTCTTATAATCCTTTCCAACACTTTACCCACAACCGAAGTAAGGCTCACTGATCTATAATTACCAGGGTTGTCTCTACTCCCCTTCTTGAACAAGGGGACAACATTTGCTAGTCTCCAGTCTTCTGGCACTATTCCTGAAGACAATGACGACATAAAGATCAAAGCCAAAGGCTCTGCAATCTCCTCTCTAGCTTCCCAGAGAATCCTAGGATAAATCCCATCCGGCCCAGGGGACTTATCTATTTTCACACCTTCCAGAATTGCTAACACCTCCTCCTTATGAACCTCAATCCCGTCTAGTCTAATAGCCTGTATCTCAGTATTCTCCTCGACTACATTGTCTTTTTCCTGCGTGAATACTGACGAAAAATATTCATTTAGCACCTCTCCTATCTCTTCGGACTCCACGCACAACTTCCCACTACTGTCCTTGACCTTTGCAATCATCATCGGGGTTGCAGAAGCAGTAGATGGGGTCATGAACTCCATCACCATGAACCAGTGGTATCTGCACTGGTCGTGCTATTTTCTAGATCTTCTCCCAACTAGGAGCAGAGGGGAAGGGGAAGGACCCAGTGGAGAACAAGGAGATTCCAAAGAGATTGTACAGGCCCCAAAAGCCTGAATGACAAGCTGCTTATCTCACTTTTGCAAACTGACAACTGCAAAGCTTCTACCGGGTACAGGCCCAGGTTAACAACCACTATCTTTATGCTTCAGGGTACATGTATGGATGCCATCTTTATATGGGGCAATATGCAGCAGGGCAAATGCATGACCATCATCTTTATAGGGATCAGTGTTCAGCAGGGGTCACCACACAGCATGAGAGTGGTTTAAGAGTATTCAGCCAGAGAACATGGAGAATCTGGCTGAAATCTAAGTATTTGAAATAATTTCAATTTTACAAAGTATACCGTTGGCATCAGGGACCACATTAATTTTCAAATGTTACATTGGGAAACGGTTTAGTAGTTTCCAATGGACGAAATATTGGAGAAATGGATAGGGACTATGCAAAAAGAAGGACATGAGAGTTATGAGTAACGCAGCAGTAAAAGTGGTCAGAAGCTTTGCTAACATCCCACATCTGCTTCCCACTTTCCCCAAAAACAGATAATCTCACATAGATATTCATCCTTTCTCCTGAATCAAATTTTTACCTTCACATTTTTACCCGACTCCCGCTCAAATTTGTTCGCAAACGACAACAAATAATCAGCAGTCAAACTGATCTGGTCCATCGCTGACAGCAGAAATGATCTCGCATTTCTTAAGACATCTAAATTATAGCTTTCGAAGTCTGATTCAAAGCGTATTCTTCCGACTCTATCGGTGATGTGAAATCCTGCCCGGACATTGAAACTGTGACCTGCTATGCAGCTGATGTTGTGCAAATCTGTCATTCTTTGGATTAAGCTGTCCAGTTGCTGCATCTGCAGGTTCAGCTGACTACCTAGTGCATTTGAGAAGCGTGCTTGACTGGGAAGGTCAACTCCCACAGCAACATCAATGGTACATCCTGAAAAAAAAGAAGGAGCTTGTCTAATTGTGACAGTAAAATTGGTAGCTCTCACATCATCCTTGTTTCTACTTTGACAATAATAGCAAGTGGGTTGTACATTGTAAGAATGCTGTAAGACCAAATGATGTACAATGGTCCTTTGTATCACAACTATAGGCAAGCAATGGAATTATCCTCCCCAGATCCCAGATACAAAGCTGAACTGTCACAATATTCTCCCATTTCCTACTCCCTGAACATTCCCTTTGTTAAAATAGCTTTCCATTCACCAAAAGTGATCTCTAGAGCTAGGGATGGGTTAGGAAGCAGAAACTATGATTTTCCTTTCATTCCTTCTCAGGTTATGTCATTGCTGGCCAAGCCAGTGTTTTATTTTAGCTGGCTTCTATCTTCTGATATGGAAGGGACAATTTTCTTTTTATTTACTCATGGGATATAGGCATTGCTAGTTGGGCCAGCGTTCATTCTCTATTCCTAATTCCTCTTGACAAGGTGCTGATGAGCAACCTTCCTCAATCATTGCACTTCCATTTGGTGTAGATAGAACTATAATACCATTAGGAAGGGAATTCCAGGATTTGACCCAGAGACACTAAAAGAGCGGCGATATATTTCCAAGTCAGGATGATGTTTTGCTTGGAAGGAAACTTGCCAGGAATAACGTTGCCATGTGTCTGCTGCAACTGTCCTTCGAGATGGAAGTGGTCATAGGTTTGGAAGGTGCTGTATAAGGATCTTTGATGCATTTCTGCAGTGCATCTTGTAGATAGTAAAGGATACAACTTAAGCCACTTTTCTCCTTCGGGACCCTGTGATTTGAGCACTTGTGACTCCTTGTGTTCACCTACCTCCAATACTTTTGCAGGAGGTTTACAATTCTGATGTCAGCTTCCCGCTGCCCAGGCTAGTATATGATTCATGATGAAATGGCCATTTCCAGGCAGGCATGCTCTATATTAGAGATAGCAAGAACTGCAGATGCTCGAGTCAGAGACAACACCATGTGGAGCTGAAGAAACACAGCAGGCCAAGCAGCATCAGTGGAGCAGGAAAGTTGACGTTTCGGGTCAGGACCCTTCTTCAGAAATGGGGAGGGGGAAGGGAGCTGGGAAATAAATAGAGAGAGGAGGAGTGGGGCTGGGGAATGTAGGTGGGATAGTGATAGGTAAGTGCAGGTAGGAAGTGGTGGGGATTGGTCAGTGGGATGGGTGGGGTGGATAGCTGGGAGAGAAGATGGACAAGTTATGTCAGGCCAAGGAGGTGGAGATGAGAGGGAGAAGTGTGAGATTTTAAAACTGGTGAATTCCATGTTTAGGCCATCAGGCTGTAGGCTCCCGAGGCGGAATATAGGATGTTGCTCCTCCAGTTTGCATGTGGTATCATTGTGGCACTGGAGGAGGCCCAGGCTCTATATGTAGCTAACTTTTAACATGGATTGATGGGGGTGAGGGGGAAATGAGCAATGTTTGGGGCTGAAGGAGGGGTAATCATTGTCAGAGGTGAGATAGGGGTGAGCATTGCCTGTGGGGGTGAAAGGGAGTGATGCAATGTCAAGGCTAGGGGCTAGTTAATTGGTGTTGGGGGTGAGATACAGGTGAATATTGTTGGAAAGGACCTAGAGGAGGTGACAAATGTTATGGAAGTGAGAGAGGATTGGGAATTGCCAGGGGTTCTTCAGGTATGGTCTTACTAAAGCACTGCACAGCTACAATGTAACTTCCCTACTTACTTAATGATTATGACGCTAGAGGAGATTCCAGATGTAGGCAGGGCTGAATCCATGGAGCAATTTGAAAATAAGAATGTAAAAATACAAGTTCCCAAAGTATACAGCTCGAGGAAATCTAGGCTACTTCATATGGTATCTAAGAATCAACCATTCTGAGATAGTGGTGATAAAAATGAACTTTCAACTTCATCCAGTCTGTAATAGCTGGGACACTGTCTGGATTAAAATGATGTTAAAAAGTGAAAACACTGTTTAAGGTGGCTGCAGAGGCCCCCTGACCACAGGTTGAGCTAATTCATTCAACCATTAATAAACAAGACCCAGGACGAACAGAAATTAATATTTCACCAAAATAATTAAAACCAGTCAATCAGATGTGTATCTCCTGTCGACTTGCATATTTCAGGAAGTTTCATGTATTGGGATGAAATTCACCTGCAGATTATCCAGCTTGCGAAAAGCAATGAAGCCAGAAACGGGAATACACAAAGGAACTTTCTGAAGAAGGGTCTAGGCTCGAAACGTCAGCTTTCCTGCTCTTCTGATGCTGCTTGGCCTGCTGTGTTCATCCAGCTCTACACCTTGTTATCTCTGTATTTGAGACAATTGTTTTTAAAACAGACAGAAAAAAAATGTTTCTGTCAGCCTCTTGAAGACAGCACCCAAGCCGCAAATTGAAGAAACATCCATTCACCGAGAACGCAAAAGATATGTAATTTTGCAAACACTGAAGATACATACTATCAATTAAACAATGTGGTCTCAAATTAATCCAAACACCTCAAAGACATTCTAAATTGGGCTGACAAATGGCAAGTGACATTCGCGCCACACAAATGCCAGGCTGTGACCATCACCAGTAAGAGACAATCTAACTACCACCCCTTGATATTCAATGGTGTTACCATCACTAAATCCCCCAATATCAACATCCTGAGTGTTATCATTGACCAAACTCAACTGAAGTCACCACTTAAACACAGTGGCTACAAAAATAGGCCAGATGCTAGGAATACTGCAGCGAGTAACTCACCTCCTGACTCCTCAAATCCTGTCCACCATTTACAAGGCACAAGTCAGGAGTGTGATGGAATACTCCCTACTTGCCTGGATGAGTGCATCCCCAACAACACTCAGGAAGCTTGACACCATCCAGGACAAAGCAGCCCCCTAGATTGGCACTACATCCACAAGCATTCACACCCTCCCCCACCGGCACTCAGTAGCAGCAGTGTGTACTATCCACAAGATGCACTGCAGAAACTCACCAAAGATCCTCAGACAACACCTTCCAAACTCACAAGCACTCCCATCTAGAAGGACAAGGGCAGCAGACATATGGGAACACCACCACCTCCAAGTTCCCCTCCAAGCCACTCACCATCCTGACTTGGAAATATATCACCGTTCCTTCACTGCCACTGGGTCAAAATCCTGGAATTCTCTCCGTAATAACATTGTGCGTCAATCTACAGCAGGTGGACTGCAGCAGTTCGAGAAAGCAGCTCACCACCACCTTCTCAAGGGCAACTAGGGATGGGCAAGAAATGCTGGCCAGCCAGCGACACCCACATCCCACAAATGAATAGAAAAAATAAATTTGGGATCTTCCTTTTTATTCTAGGCAGTCACCCTTCTTAAAATGTTATACCTTTGTTTTTATGTGTGTTTGATGTCTCATTTTTCTCGGGGTTAGTCCGAAATAAAATTCCATTGTCTGTCACGAAGTAAACCTTGTGATCAGCTCCCTCTGTTATTCAGGTCATCCAGTAATATACTTATACTTGAAGTATGATACAGCTGCACGCCAGAAATAATTAAAACTCTTTGTTGTGCCTAATGGAGGTGGTTAAAAAGACTTCAGCAAGTTTATCCCTCTTCACCCAGCTGTAACAATGCAGGTCAGACTAATTAAGGACAGTAATTTTCCTTCCCTAAAGGACATTAATGAACCATTTGGATGTTTACAACAATCTGACAGCTTCATGGTTACTTTTACTAAGACCATATTAACATTTTTGGAATTGATTGCTAATTCCCAACTGCCACCATGGTGTGCAATCACAGGTTTATTGCATCATCAGATCAGTAGCATAACCTCAATACTATCGTACCCAGCTAAATTGCATTCGTCATCTTTAAATTACTGCATCTGGAAACTGGAAGAGATACATTTCTTTAGTCTGGTTACCAATACAAAGTGCAATAAAAGCACTGGCCAACTGAAGAAGAGTGCAAAGAAATTCTTCACTCACCTGCTCCTGGCTGATCCTCACAAAGGCTGCGGACAATCCTTTGTTTAATCTTGCCCAAATCTCGAAAGCTGTCAACAAAATAGATCCTGTCTCGTGACCCAGAGATTTGGAGAAGCTGTTTCAGATCTGCCTGCCCTACCCCTACAGTCAAAATTTCAATCCCATTGTCCCTCAGATTATCAGCTGGGCCCATCACACTCTCTTTCGACCTTCCATCAGTGATCACCACCAGGAACTGGGGCACATTCGAAGCTTTCCGACTACCTGCCTCTCTCGTGAACAGCCTGGTCACGTTCATCAGTGCTGGTCCAATCCGAGTTCCTTGATTCAGTTGAACCATTTTTTCAATTTCAGCCATCAATGTCTTTTTGTCTGGGAAATCCTTCAGGTCAAATTCTTTTCGAAACGACGTACTGAACTGAGCCAGACCAAACTGGAACATGCTGGGGACAATACTGAAAAAGCTAACCATGCTTTTCATGAAAGATTTAATGTAACTGAAGTCTTCAGCCATTATGCTCTCAGATCCATCTACTAAAAAGACAATGTCTGCCTGTTGAAGATCACATTCTATTGAAAGAAAACATATCCAATTAAAGATTTATACAAATTAGCACACTTCTCTCTTCCCCTAATCTTCTCCCTTGTGGAGGTGCTCATGTTCAAGGTATTTATTGTCAACTTTTGGAATACAATCTCCACAATTTACAGTGGTGTGTTGCATAGTAATGTGGCCTGATATATAGTGCCTGCTTTTTAAATGCTTGGAAGGTGTGTTCATTCTCCATCTCTTAACTTTCTGATCTGCCTAATGGCTTCAGTATGATATATACATTTGAAGCAACCTATTCAGAGACGTTATAACACACCTCCAGAACAAGTGGGACCTGAACCTGGGCCTTTGGCCCAGAGATATGGACACTACCACTGCACCCTTCAGAGACATTTCTTCACCCAAAGAGTGGTGAGCCTGTGGAATTCATTACCACAGGAAGTAGTTGACGCCAAAATATTGAATGCATTCAAAAGGCGACTAGATATAGCACTTGAGGCGAATAGGATCAAAGGTTATAGGGAGGAAGCAGGATTAGGCCATTGAGTTGGACGATCAGCCAAGATCGTGATGTATGGCAGAGCAGGATCAAAGGGCCGAATGGCCTCCTCCTTTTCCTATTTTCTATGCTTCTATGTTTCTATAACACAAACAGAGAATGTCCAACACCTGTCTGTTGAGAGAGTAGGAGAGCAAACATAGAGACACAAAAGCAAATAACATTCAGCTATGGTGAGCTGAATAGCACTGGCCTGGGTAATGATCCAATCAGTTTCACCCTGGGCAGTTTTGTCACAATAGCAGGTAGATGGTAATGATCAGTAAGCTATAACTATGATTGAGAGCAGCAGAGCTGTACAAAAGGACATGTCACCAGTAAGGAGTCATGTTTTTATTTTCTTGACACAGAATAACACAACTTCTAATGCGGTAGGGAAAAAAGGCAGGTCCCAAATCCGCTCCAACTAAAATGAGAATTGAACTCGGTTCTTTGGCAGTCGTCAGATCCACACTGGCTATTCCACCTCATTACACCCCGAATATGAATCCTGACCTTCTAGCTCAGAGACATCATGCCACAAGATCTCCATACCACATTGCAACATGGTGCAAATAGCTACTTGATCTCACCTTCTTAACGTGGTTAGTACCATTTGCCCACTATAGGCAACTGCCTGCTATAAGTGTAGTCAATACGAAAAGTGCTATTTGTGTCACTTGATCCAATCATTCTCCAATCAGACTGAATAACAAGAAATCAGTGATCAGTCGCCCATTTGTAGCGTCACAGTGTTATAGAGTCATAGAGTCATACAGCATAGAAACAGACACTTCAGTCCAACTAGTCCACGCCAACCATGTTCCCAAACCAAACTGGTCCCACTTGCCTGCATTTGGCCCATATTCCTCCAAACCTTTCCTATTCATATACTTATCCAAGTGTCTTGTAAATGTTGTAACCGTGCCTGCAACCATCACTTCCTCTGGCAGTTCATTCCATGCATGAACTTTACACTCTCTGTGTAAGATGTTGCCCCTCATCTTTCCCCTCTTACCTTAAAAATATGCCTCTTAGTTTTGAACTCACCCACTCTAAGGAAAAGGTCCTTGCTATTCTCATTATCTATGCCCATCATGATTTTATAAACCTCTATAAGGTCACCCCTCAACCTCCTACACTCCAGTGATAAAAGTCCCAAACTGCCCAGCTTATCCTTATAACTCAAATCTTCCATTCCTGGCTACATCCTGGCAAATCTTTTTCTGAACACTCTCCAGTTTAATAATATCCTTCCTATAACAGGGAACCAGAACTGGATGCAGTACTCCAGAAGAAGTGTTGCCCCTACCTGCCCTGATCAGACACCCAAATATTAAGCAGCAAATTTCAGAGAACCACAGACTGGAGCTGTGGCTTTGGCCATGTTTTCCCATGGTGGGTATATGTGACTGTTCAAGTGATCGCAGCCAAGGTCCCAAGATTAAACCTGGCGTGTTCTTGGATATGTCAAGCAGTATACCATTCAGTCATTAATGAAGCTTTAATGCAGTTTGAAATTGTATTCTACATTTTTTTATGCTGGAATTTTCAACCTAACTCTGTTCTGCTTAGAAACAATCAAGGTTTGCTCTTGTGAGCTGAGGTCAAAGATTCTCAACACATTTGGTACATTCCAATTAATACAGGAGACAGGTGCCTGAGGCCTACATTGTACCTACAGTGCCCTGTATACTATGTTGTGGAATAAAAATGCCAAGGGGAGCCTTAGAGCATCTGCAAAGCTCATTAAACATCACCCCCAGTAGATCTTTAAATCAGCCATAACCCTTCCCCCACCAAATTGCCTGAAGTGCCTGTTTTTAGTAAATGTTTTCAGGGAGGTTGATTCAGAGTAAAGACAAATTCTCATCTACCTGCGTTTGCTACTCAGCTGACAACCCCACTCCCTCATATCCTTTGCCTTATGTATGTTCCTGAGTTCAGAAGGAGCCGAAATACAGTGTGGTTACCTAATCCATACTCCCATTCACTAACTGATGTAGAAAAGCACCTTCAGGCTTTTAATTCATATTTCTGACTTTAGCTCATCCTTAGATCACAAATATTCCTCTACCTGGATTTGTGTTTGTACAAACGAGCAACAAGAGATCCCTCGTGATGTTTTTCAAGGCGTCAAAGTCTTGAACATAAAAGTAGTTTTCCCTCGAGCCTCCAATAGCCTCGAGCTCTCTTTTGTTGGCTTCTGCTATTCCCACAGCAAGGACGGTCACTCCATCCTCTCTGATGTCTTCCGCCACCCCTGGCACTGCTGATGAATCCGCGGCTTCTTCGTCAGTAATCACGATGACAAACTGCGAAACCCCTGCCATCTGCCGACTCCCTTTCTCTAGGGTTAAAAGTTTTCTGGCCTGTTGAAGTGCACGTGCAGTGAAAGTGGGTCCTTCTTTCATTTGCATTTGACTAATAGCTTGGCGGACCTCGTTTTTGCTCCGGAATTGACTGAGCTGGAATTGAATGTCAGGGTCATTATTGTAGAGTATGGCACCAAACCGAACCCTGCTGGGGGACACCTCTGAGCTGTTCACCAATGTCATCACGAATCTTTTCATCCTCTCAAAATCGTATGGCTGTACGTTGCCTGATCCATCAATCACAAAAAGAATATCTGCTGCTTCAGTTCGCAAGCAAACTTGGAAGGGGTGGGGATGGGGAACAAAGAACAGCAGCAGGATTATTGTTCATTCTTTACGTGATTCAGATTACTCACATCTTACGGCCGAAACTAATCATTTCTCAGGACGAAAAACCGAAAGAACTGCGGGTGCTGTACATCAGGAACAAAAACAGAAGTTGCTGGAAAAGCTCAGCAGGTCTGGCAGCATCTGTGAAGAAAAAATCAGAGTTAGCGTTTCAGATCCGGTGACCCTTACCCTTCCTCAGAATTGTTCTGAGGAAGGGTCACTGGACCCAAAACGTTAACTCTGAATTTTTTCTTCACAGATGCTGCCAGACCTGCTGAGCTTTTCCAGCAACTTCTGTTTTTGTTCCATTTTTCAGGACTGTTAGTATAACATCTAATTGCCTGAGAAAAATCCACTGAAAACAAAATTATTTACCAAAATGGTTCATTGGTGGACACTTATGAAAAAGATTAGTATACCCCATCCTTCTTGATCTATGGACATCCATAAATGCATTTAGGATCTGACATGTCAACAATGCATAAACTCCAAGTGTAAGGATTTCCAAACCCACCCTCAGTCGCATGCCTTATTAGATTTGTTGGTGACAGACAGAAGATCCAGTCCAAATAAAACTCTGAGGAATCTACAGGTCCTGTCCTATTTTATGGCCCTTTCCAACCAAGGAGGAAGTGGAATATGTCAGCAAGCCTTACAAGTTTTGACCTCATTAATGAGACTGCTGAATATTAGTTACCAGTGAAGGGTTATATCTTAAGGTTAAACTTCTTGTTCTCCAATTCACCAGTAATTATCCCACTCTGCTTACCTTCAGGCTGGCTGCAGATCTCCCAGAGGATCTGTTTTTCTGGGGTGTCCAGCAGATCAAAGTTCTCCACATAGTGAACTTTATCCCAAGCTCCTCCAACTTCCAGAAGCTGAGTGCTGTTAGCATTGAATACGCCCACGGTGAACACAGTGACTCCTTTATCCCTTAGGGCTTTGGCTGGTTGAAGGACCTCATCCTGTGCCTCTCCATCAGTTATCACTATGAGGTACTGTGGAACGTTAGGGCGACCCCCTTTAGCTTCATCAAAATAGTCCACTGCAAATCTCAGTGCACGACCTGTGAGAGTCCCCCCTCCCAGCTGCTGCATGTTACTGATCGCTGTGAGTAGGTCAGCTTTCCTTGAATGTACATTAAGTTCAAACTCTAGCTTGGGGCTTGAGGCAAACTGTATCAGACCTATATGCACATTTTTGTCTTCGATAGAGGTCTTGTTCACAATGGCATCCATAAATGTCTTCATTTTCCTGAAATCCTCGGTGTTTATGCTGCCTGATCCATCAATTAGGAAGATGATATCAGCCATATCCAGCTTCCTGCAGGCTGAGAGAAAGAAATCACATTGTATTTTGCCAGTTGTGCTTTTGAATGGAGAAACTCAAATTAGGTTATAAAAAAATCTGTGTGGTAGTGTGGCCGAGCAGTCTAAGGTGCTGGATTTAGGTTCCAGTATCCTTGGAGGTGTGGGTTCGAATCCCACTGCTGCTACTTGGGCTGGTAGCCTGTTGTGTTGGTTGGCTGTTATGCTGAACCTGAGTAGGGATTCGCTGTGTTTAAAGGTGGCACTGTGGGTCAGTGGTTAGCACTGCTGCCTCACAGCACCAGGGACCTGGGTTTGATTCCACCCTCAGGCAACTGTTTGTGTGGAGTTTGCACGTTCTCCCTGTGTCTGTGTGGGTTTCCTCCGGGTGCTCCAGTTTCCTCCCACAGTCCAAAGCTGTGCAGGTTAGGTGGATTGGCCATGCTAAATTGCCCATAGTGTTCAGGGATGTGTAGGTTAGGTGGGTGGTAGGGTGATGGGTTTGGGTGGGGTGCTCTGAGGTTCGGTGTGGACTTGTTGGGCCGAAGGTCCTGTTTCCACACTGTAGGGATTCTATTTTCTATGAAAAATCCCTCTTTTCCTGCATTCCAGTTAAGACTCTAAATTGTAATCAACATACGAATTGATAGAAACACAGAAATTGCTGGAGCAACTCATAAAGTCTGGCAGCAACTGTGGGGAGAAAGCAGAGTTAACGTTTCGAGTGTATTGACCCTTCTTCAGGAATTGATGGACCAAGAAAGATCAAGGTTTATTCAGTTCTCCTTCTACCACCCTTACATTTTCATTCTATGATGATAGTGGAATTGTTGACTAATTGCAACCAATATTGATCAAGACCCTGACAACAGGTGAGGCATTGGCAATGGAAGCTTTGGAAATCATAGTCAAGCACTTGCCACATGTCATGTTTCAAAATACTTATATATTTCAAAATATAATTTTAAAAATGTATCTGACCTCAACAAACATGCAAAAGTATACCTTGTGCTGTGATGCCCCTGGTACAACGTGGGTAAGTCACAGAATAGCATAAATTCTAGCCCATGATTTTGGATCTATTAAAGTTTACAGACAAACATTCCTGAACTTGAATTGTGCAGTTGTACACTGTCACATCCTACCACTGGTCCCACAGGAGAGAACATCCACTTCACAGTTGGCAACAGCTCTCCAGACTGAGCCAGATAATCTGTACCATCTCAACCCATTTCCTGAAAAGACTTTGAAGCAAAATAAATATTAACCATGCCAAGTCTCTCCCTCCATTGAGCTTAGTGGGAAATAAAATTCAAGAAAATGCAAAATAAATTTACTGGACAATTGCATAAAGTCAAAATCGTCTCCAAAGTTTCCTGCATTTTTACTTTAATATTATTGTTACTTTCCTTTTACTGAAAACTAAACTAGAGAATGCAGCACAAAAATCAGCCAATTAATGCAATTAATGACAATATTGATCAAACTGTGTAGAGGATGAGGTGTTTCATTTTGCCACATGACAAGATCCAATGCAAAGTCTTCAGTACCCAAATAAACAATTCTTCATTACTGCCTAATTAGACACTCCAGCAGCTGAAATTGCTCCCATTTATTACTCTTGGCTAAAAAGGGAATATTCCATCGACTCCAAGGGACAAATGGAGGGATTTTCAGCCAATTGTTAAGGCAGTTCTGAAATACGAAGCTTACCTTCCCTAGAACAGAGTTCCCGTACAATGTTATTCTTCACATCTTTCAAAGCATCAAAGTTGGTGACATAAAAGATTCTTTCTCTAGTTCCTCCAATTTGCAGAAGTTCAGATTCATCTGTGTTTCCCACTCCTATTGCAAAAGTATCTACTCCCTGTCTCCTCAGCTCTGCGGCAGGGCTTCTCACAGGATCATCTGATTGTCCACTTGTGATAGTGATCAGGATATGCCTCACCCTCTGTCTGCGACTTGTCACAGCATTGCTGAGAAGATTCCTCATGTAGGTTAATGCACGGCCAGTTGCCATGCCTCCACCCATTTGAGAGATTTGCTTAATCGCTTTCTCCAAATCTGTTTGGCTGGTATGCTGAGTGATTCCAATTTCAATCCGCGGACTATCTGCATACTGGACAACTCCCACACGTACCTGGTCTGCACCAATACTGAATACATTCACTACATCTACCAGAAACCTTTTCATATCCATGAGTTCCTCAGGGGATATGCTGTCTGACCCATCAACGAGGAAAAAGATATCGGCTTCTTCTGTTTCGACACAGCCTGAAAAGAGAAAAGGGTATTACTTCAGTCACTGGAATAGACAACAGGGCAATCAGTCACTAAGCTAAGTTACCATTAACACAAAGTGGGCTCAAAGCAAATCAGGACAAGCTGAAAATATTGCCAAGACTTTTGATTTCAAACTAAGTAGAAGCGACAGTGATCTAAGGGAATGAGCTTCCAAAGAGAGCCTTGGCCTATTGTTCTGCCAGAATCAGTGGAAAAAAGGCCAGTTAGGGTGTAAGCCAGCTTCTGATTCACTATGAGCCTATGGCACCACCGCCAAACAGTAATATTATCTGCGTCATGTTTTAATTGCTTTTTTCTGCACTTTATGTGGATCTACGAAAGAGTCCAAATTAATGCAGCTTTCTATAGTCTGCCAAAGACTGAGACAGGGCTTACTTTATTCTAACTTAAACTGCCTAGTAATGTTAGGTGCAATGTTGGCTTTACACCTTGCCCAATTGTATTCTTCAACAAAGTCAAGTGACTGGGTGAAAAATTGGCATCCTACCTGAGCCCATGGTTTTCCAACCCGCTGGATTAAGTTAAAATGAACCTTTGCAATTAGATTCTCTAAAGGATGGTTCCTTACTTGGAGGGGTCAGCAGCAAAGATCAAGCATGCCCTCAGTGATAAATATTTTGCATGTGATGGAGTTACACACCATAATGGAGGATACACTATATATCCACAAGGACTGTGGACTGATCACTCCTACCAGTACTCTGGGGACAGATGTCTGTCTGCAACAAGTGGATTGCTGAGGGTAAAACAAAATAAGACTTTCTCTATGGTTAGTTCTCTCACTACCTGTCACAGGCCCTGTCTTCAGGACTCATCCAGCACAGTCTGTATTGGAGTTAAAGTGTCACTCCAGGTGACCAGCACTGAAGTCTCTAACCCAGAATGCATGCTAGGTTCTGGCTATTTATAGTAGTGTTCAATGTGGACAAGTGCTACTTCATCAATTCACAGGTGGTAGTTAGCAGTAGGTTTCCTTGATCACGTTTCTCCTGATTTTGTAAGACATTGTAGGGTCTGGAGTCAATACTGAAGACTCCCAGGCAACTCCATCTCTATACCGCTCCGTCACCACCTCTGTGTTGGGACTGTTCTGTTGGTGAAACTGGACATACCAAGATAGTGATGGACTACCCTGGGATTTTGACTGATAGTTATGAAGCTGACTATGTCAGGCTGTTGCTTGACTAGCTTGTGGGACAAGTCTCTCAACTTGTGCATAAATCCCCACATGTTACAAAGGAGAACTTTGCAGTGTTGACTGCATTGAGTGGGCCTCTGGTGTGTTTGACACCTCAGTCGATGTCAATTGATTCTTCTGGTCGAATTCTTACTAAACCTTTTCAGAGCTGTTTAAAGAACCGAGTGATTTCTCGGGCATTTCAGAGTCAATCACATTGCAATGGGTCTGAAGTTCCATAAAGACCAGACTTGGTTAGGACAGCATATTTCCTTCCATAAATAACATCTTTACAACAATCTGACACTTTCAAGAGCACTATGTCTATTATTACTAATTTTGTGATTTAATCACCATGCAGCTATATCCACACAGCATATTATTGTACCCACATACTACAATCTCTTTCCTACACCCCCTTTTGTGCACATACAGATACTATGGCAACACATTGTCATTATTGATGATGTGCTGTCAAACAAATCCACCACGCTTTCACCTTGAGCTTTACAGATTGGAAGCTTCCCAGGTTGGAAAAAAATACTGTGTCTACAACAAAGTTCTCCGCCAAATAATTACTGGAGGAACTGCCACTCCATCTGCAATAACTGAACTTTTATTCAGGCAGGGCAATGACAAGTTTAAATACTCCATCTGGTTTCCATATCGTTTGTCAGTTTCTCAAGCTGTGGGAAAATCATTCTCCACTCTCGAAAGTTAGCGCCAAATTCACAAAGTTTGACTAAGATCTCACTAACACTTCCTGGGGAGATTAATTACAATCTTAACTATCCACAGAGCCGCAGGGATGAAGAACTGATTGTTCATCTTTAGGAGCTGGGAAAATTCCAGCTTTCCAAAACCGCCTGAGAGGAATTACCCACAAAGACCGGATTGTCATTGATGAGGGATGGGTAGGGGCTGACCGACGTGGGGAAGAGGTAGGTTATGGCAGATGCCAAGGAGGCCATTTTTAAAAGCTCTTCTAGATGCTGTGGGGCTTTGTCCCAGTTATAATGAAAAGGTATAGTCTTCTAGCCCTCACATCTCACATTCCTTCACCTCGCACACACTATCAATGCACCATCCATGGCATCTCATGCCACTATATCCATTCTCCCACACATCATATCCCCATACAAGCCTGTGCCATTCCATCCACCCATATCATGGCTCCTATGTGAAGCTATGCCTCTCCACCCATTCCCCACTACATGGTTTGCTAAATGAGAGCATTTCTGTACCCATTGACCTACTGAACTAAAGGATCTATAATAAAAATTCTTTTAAAAAAAATTCATTCATAACCTGCCTTTTCCGACAGAGCAATAAAAGTGGCAATCATCAAGGTGTACTCAGGTATCAATAGTAGAAACTGTAAACATTTGAAACCTCTTAATCTTGTAAAAAAAATTATGTAATTGACAGCAGAGATCAGAGGGCAAGAGTAGTGAAACAAGCAAGGCTTTTTCTAGGGCTGAGCTGCTTCAACAGCCTAATGGATGTATGGTCACTCAGTCAAAATTTGTTATGCATTTTTGGCTGTATATAAAAAGCTTTTTACAATGTTTATAAAGTTTGTATGCAGCCTAGACTATTTTATCTGAGGGATTAAGGGTTAAGATCAAAGTCCAATAATTAGGGACCACGGGAATCAGAGAGCTGATGCAATATTGGCATGTTTTGTTGAAATCTGACAGAAACAATAGAACATAAGGACAAAAATGGGCTATTAAAAAAACTCAACAGCACCATTGGGCAATGTCTAATAAAGGATGCAAACATTATGCAGAATATCAACCAGTTTCAGAAAAGCCTAATGCAAATGGATGAACTTATAAAAACAAGGAGTCAGGAATTACATCCATAATTCTTAGGAGGCATTTAACTTGCTTCTCCAAACCTTGTTTGAGCCTTTTTACTCGGACAGATTGGACTGTGGTTTGTTTGATGATCTCATTGCAAATCTTCTTCTGAAGCATGTCTTCAATGGTTGACAGTTGAGTGAAGTCCTCAACCGTAGAAACGTAATTCTTCGAAGGATGTGATGCAATTTTCTTCAGCTCGCTCTCAGTGGCATTTTGGATTCCCAAGACATACAGAGTAACGCCCAAACGACGCAGGGTAGCTGCACTGTCCTTGACTGCATCCTGGGATTTGCCACTGGTGATTACAATCAGGATCTGAGGAAATCCTTTCCTAGCACGACTGCCTGCCTGCCCCATGAAGTAATTGTTCCGTACAAAATCAATAGCAACGCCTGTGTTCCTGCCCCCTCCACCGTACCGTATCGACTTGATGTGGTCGAGGATGTCGGACTTTCTGAGGTACATTTTGAGATTGAAATCTTCTGATGCATTGGCGCTGTACTGAGCTAAACCAACGTGGACACTTTCAGCCTCCACTTCCAGCGCATTGATCATGTTGTGGAGGAAAACACGCAGCAATTGGAAATTTACAGCCCCAATGCTGTCCGATTCATCCACCAAGAAAACAATATCAGCAACCGAAGCAGACTGACACACTGTGAGAAACAAAAGACACATAAAAGCTCATAAATGCACAGACACAGTTTGTTGGAAATTATAGACAGACATTTAGAGTAAATCTGCCGGCACTGAAGCTATTGCTAAGATGCAGCACACTCACCTCTGAACTGTAAGTTGTTGAGTTCTAACCCTAACTACAGAAATGTGAGTTAAGATTCTAGCTTGACACTATCAGTACAGTATTGAGGAAATGTTGCTCTGTAAGAGATGCTGTTATACAGATAAAGTGTAAAATCAAAGCCCCATCTGGCTCTGAAATTGATGGAAAGGGGTACCACAATACAATTCACAGAACAGTGGTAGAGTCCTCTAATGTCCTGGTCAATTGTTATGCCTTATACAATAACATCAATATAACTGACAATCTGATCATTGTCCCATTGATATTTGCTGGCAACTTGCTGTGCAAAAGGTGACTGCCATTTTTCCTATTTTACAGAACCACAGAAGTGTTATGGTGTAGAAGGGAGCCGTTCATTCCATCAGGCCAGCACTGGCTCATTAAATGAGCATCATTGCCTAGTGTCTGTTCTCCAATACTCTTGCACATTATTTTTATCCTAATAATCATCCAATTCCTTCTTGAAAGCTTCAATTGAACCCGCCTCCATCTTGTTCCAGGCAGTGCATTCCATATCCTAACTACTCATAGAGTGATGAAGTTTTTTCTCACTCCACCCTTGCTTCTTTTGCAGATCACTTTAAATCTATGCCCTCTTGTTCTATTTAACTTTTACAAATCGGAACAGTTCCTCCCTATCTACTCTATCCAGGCCACTCATGATTTGAAAACCTCAATCTGATTTCCTCTTCATCTTGTTCTCTCTAAATAGAATAGCCTCAACTTCTTCAATCTATTCTCATGACTGAAATTCCTTGTCCACGGGGCCATTCTTGTGAACCTCTTCTGCACTCTCTCCAATGTATTCGCATCCTTTCTATAATGTGGCACTTAGAATTGTACACAGTACTCCAGCTGAGATCTGACAAGTGTCTTATACAAATTCAATATCACCTCCACCATCGAGCAACTAAAAAGTTCAGAAAGTATCTCATTTGCTGCACAAGGCTTTTTGGCATCCTGATGTTGTGAATGATGTTACATTAACCAATGCTTACTTTCTTTCAAACAAGATTGCACTGGGGATTAAAAGCATGAGGAGGAGGCATGTGAATGAAATGCTCTTTCTCCAAATACAGGTTTCCGAAGTGCAATGTAATGTACTCAGTGGGTGTTTTACTGCTAACTGTATCATTCTCCTTCAACAGCACATAATACCTTGCATTGAAATTTTACAATATGTGGATTTAAATTTTCTTCCCTTAAAGAAATATGATTACAACAAAACCTGAGTATTAAAGAATGCAATATGGAGCATTGTAGACATTAAGATCACTTCAAGGATCTAAACACACTGACTCAGTGAATTCTTAAGCAAACCATTGAAGTAAAGTAATTTAAAAGGCAGTGGAAATTATTATGCTCATTGTATCTGTATTGGTCTTTTATAGAGCAGTCCTAAACCAATTTCACTACCGTGCTTATTCTGTTGCATCCTCGCTTTCAAATATATTTGTTATTTTCCCTAAAGCACTCACTATGTTTGTGTTCATGCGACTCTCCGCATAAAGAAATTTCTTGCAACATTTATCTTCACACACTTCCTGAAATTTATAATTGTTAAACTCATTACAAAGACAGTCGTCTTTCCCTATTCACTTCATTCAAACCCTTTGTCTCCATTTTGCCTTGTGCCCCTTTTTCTTCCAATTTCCTCTCTTCTCCTGTTAAGACGCCTTGGTGCTAACATTGGGTGCACTCAAATCCTGTTTGCAAACTATCTGCTTATTTAAACCAATACTGCGCTTTCCTGACCACCTCTGCTCTCTGTATTTTTCGTAATGAGCTCTGTATCTTTTTTTCAATTTTGGTTTTTAAATCCCTGAACTTCTCTGGAGATCAACAATACACTTTTCCACTGCATTACAATGAAAAGCCCAGCTTTTGTGTCTGATCTGCTGCTCTGTTGTATATATTTTCAAGTAACTTTGACCAGTTGACCATACTGTTCTGACAAGAGAATTGGATCAGGGCTCCTTCAGAGATGTGGAGCATATTTTAAATCTGATGGGTCCCTCATGGTGCAGGATAGTCAGGAGAAGGCAAACAATGCCCCCATTTTTACAGCAGTTCTCATCGTATTCTGTGAGTCAAATGTTCAACCTCAGAGACAGCCGCTTTGAAAGCTCCTTTGAAAAGGTAAATGTGAAGTTTTGGGGCTAGGAGGGTCTGGTGCCAGGTAGGTAGGAGTAAGATGCCACTGTGTCAGGTAGGTAAGGTGCTAAGTGGGAAAAGCCCGGTAAATGGTTGAGTATTTAGGGTAGGTCAGGGTGGGGAAGAGGTATGGTGAGTGGTGGTGGGGACGTGTAGTGTGGTGTTCCCTGGGTGCAGGGGCCACAGAGCATATGGGGTATGGGAGTTTGACGAGTCCAGTGATGGGGGAGGGCTTTGGGTGGAGTGGGGTGTCAGGTCCTGGGTAAAGAAGGGTTTTCAGGCTCCTGGGAAAGGTAAAGGGGTTCTGGCTTCCAACAGGGAGAAGGGGCTGGTGTCCAGTTGCTTGGGGACTGGGTCCCAGGAAAGCTGGGGTGGGGGTGGTGGTGTGGGCAGGGGCCATGTCATGTCCTGGGTACAAGGGTGTTAGATCCCAGGGAGGCATTGTTGTCATTTTTGAGGGGCTGGGGGGAGGTCTTGGGTCTTGGGCAGAGAAGGGAGTTTTAGGTCTGAGGGGACAAGTGATAAGGGAGTGGTGTAGGATCCCAGGGTAGGTGCCATACTAGGGTCTGGGGCTTGTGATGGGTGAGTGAGAGGTGTACTTAGGGTGTTTGAGGTACATTGGAGGTCAGTTTAATAATTACTCAGTAGTAAACCAGGCTTTTAAAATTCTAACATTTCTCAAGTAACAGTGGAAGACTCTGAATGCTCCCATCTGAATGGACAGGGGAATTGCCCAGCAGAATCTTCAATTCCTCAAGCAGTTCCCCGGAGTCTGTTCCATCGGGGATTCCACAGGATCCCTCTTGCACGTCTGGACAAGATCATCTGGCTATTGGAAATTACACAGTATCATCTCCTTTCATCGCTTTATGTCAATTTATTTCTTTCTTTATTTCTTTGTTAAATTGCTAGTCACCCATTTACTGAAGCAGGAAGAAGTCAGTCTTTCAGAACTGTTTATTTGCTCAGTAGTTCAATACTTATAGTTCATAGTTCAATACAAATACTAGTCAGCTCTATCTCTTTCCTACAGAACTCCCCTTACTGCGGAAGACCCACCCTTCAAAGTGAGATCCTATGAGCGTTCACTGCTCTCTATGATCCTTGAGCACGCCCTTAAAGGAACATTTTTTTTACAACATTGTCTACCCTAAGTGCTGTGGGTTGTTTAATTATGCTAAAGGCACTACATCGATACAAATTCTAATCATTGCTGCTCTCAGCATTCTACCCACTGAACCCTCCCTCTTCCCACAGTTCTCTGTGCTGAAATGAGAGGTGACAGAAAATGATCAGCAGTGTTTGCCTGCTCTTTGGAAAGGAAGATCAGACGTGCTGAATAACATTTAGCCGATGTCAAGCCACTTAATCTCTTTAAAGTGTACCCAAAATCGAGCCCCCTGCTGAAATATATTCTTTCCCAATATTTGATTTTCTTGCCTCTCTCTTACACACTTTCATCCTGAAATGATATGTCAGGAAATGGCAAGTATTGATTTTAAAAACCTATCTTCTACTTTCCCTTTCTGCTGCCCTAAGGCCTTTGGAGGATGCCCAAAATTAAAAATACATGAGTTGGGCTCCTATCAGTCCACTTAAAAGCACCAGTACTGCATTATAATCTGTCTCATTCCATCATCGCAACATAAAGGAATCCAGCTGAGCTTTTCCAATAATTACTATTTTTGTCTCTAATTTACAACATTCGTAGTTATTTCAGTTTTTTTTATATAGAGGAATCCTGACTTTGTGGAAAGAATAAAAAGTGAGGAGATATAGAAACAACAATCATCAATTGCCTTTTTCTGTAAGTAATAACTGGAATTAAACAAACAAATAAGGAGGCTGAGCACAATTTGAACTCAATTTTTACTTCAGGGGCACAATAGACACTTGCATGCCACCGGACACCATTTTGCATATTTTATCCCAAACAGGCAGGTGCTCTAATCACCCAACTCAGGCTTCTACCCAAATAGCAAGAGTAAGGAGGGCATCAAGTGACCAATGACCCAACTCCATTTACAGCCCGGTGCCTTACTGTTTACATCAGGCAAAGCCAAGATAGCTCCTGTAAGCCAGTCTGATTTAGGAAGATCCTTGGGACAATGAAAGATACCGTACAGTGCAGGAACAAAATTGGATATGGACGAAAGGCAAAGGAATCAAACATTACCTGGTGGCCTTCTCATTTCTCTGTATCGAAACTCTCTTCGTACTAGCTGTCTGATTGCATTAGATATTTGTTCAGATGACTGAATCAATGCATCAAAAGCACTAATCTGGAAAACAAATGGAAAATTAGGCAGAAAAGCCACACGCTGGAGCTCGCTCAAGATGGAACGTCTGACGCCAACGGAGATAACTTTCACGCCTTCCTTCTTTAAGGCTCTGGCAGGCAGAGTAATGTCATCCTGTGAAGGGGCTGAAGTAACAATTATTACTATCTGAGGAACACCTTCCCCTTTCCGACTTCCAGCAGACTCTCTGAAAAATGTCCTGCGCACAAAGTCAATGGCACGGCCCATTGCTAACCCTGGTCCTCCCTGAAATGTAAAGCTACTGTCACTTCTGATGTAATTTGCCACTTGAATCTTTGTTATGTAGGTATTCAGTAAGAACTCAGTTCGTGCACTAGTATCGTACTGGGCAAGACCAATGCGGTACTTATTTGCCCCAATGTCGAGCTGAGAAATGATTTTGAAGATAAAGCTTCTGATCTGCTGGAATCCTGCGATTTCCATGTTCTGCGAACCATCGACTAGGAAAACGATGTCAGCATAACGCACTGCGAAGGCTGCAAAGCAGAAGATAAAATGTTGAGTCAGTAAAGAAAATAAGTATTGAATGTACCACAACCTTTTCAATACCTACTTTGAATAAAGAGAATGCAAGTGGGTGAAATGGGACTTGATTTAAGACAAGGAAATTCCATAGAGCTAGACCACAGCTAGTGGTAGAGATTGAAAAGTGATGGTGAATGGATGATGGAGATGAATGGCTGGTGGAGATTAATACGGCAGAGGTGAAGATAGATGGTAGGAAGGTAGAGAGAGATGGAGAGTGGAGCTGAATGCCTAGAAGGTGAGGCAATTTTTTTTTTTGATCAGGGTAGGCTCGGGGTTATCGGTAAATCTGAAGGTTTTCATCCATTTAACAGAGAGTATTGGGAATAAATCTGGAGGACGTCAGAGAGAAAATAAATTATTAGAGATGGGACAGGATGATTTAAAGTTTATGAGAAGATTTGTAGCTCGGGTTGTGGATGAGGTTGTAGACTTGCTCCCTGAGCTGGTGTGTTTGATTGCAGACGTTTTATCACCCTGCTAGGTAACAATGACAGTGCACCTCAGGTGAAACGTTGGTGTTCTGTCCCGTGTGTTATTTATATGACTCGTTTTGCTGGGGTGGTTGTCATCTCTTCGGGGTCTCTTTTTCAGTGGTTTGTATATCGGATCTAGTTCAATGCATTTGTTGATGGAGTTCCGGTTGGAATGCCAGGCCTCCAGGAATTCCCTGGCATGTCTCTGTTTGGCTTGTGCTATTATGGATGTGTTGTCCCAGTCGAATTTGTGTCCTTCTTTGTCCGTGTGTATTGAGACCAGTGAAAGTTGGTCGTGTCTCTTGGTGGCTGGTTGGTGTTTGTGTATCCTTGTTGTCAGTTTTCTGGCAGTTTGGCCTATGTTGGGTATCCAAAAAAGCACAATCCGACATTACCTCTGCTACAGACCACAACAAGAAGACACAACACGGCCAGACACACTAGTCACCCTACCATACATCAGAGACATATCAGAGATGACCACAAGACTACTCAGACCCCTAGGTATCAGGGTAGTCCACAAACCAACAATCACCCTGCGACAGCTACTGAAGAACGTAAAGGATCCCATACCCACAAACAATAAAACTAATGTAATACAAAATACCATGCAAGGACTGTGAAAAACATTACATTGGCCAAACTGGAAGAAAACTAACAATAAGGATACATGAACCACCTCAGCAAAACGAGGAGTATAAATAACAAGCAGAACAGAACAGCAACGCTTCACCGGAGACGCACTGATGATGTTACCTAGCAGAGTGATGAAATGTCTGCAATCAAACACATCGGCTCAGCGAGCACATCTACAACTTCATGGGACAGGATGGTCTTCTGTTGGTAGCTTTGATGGAAAAGGGTATATGACTTTAACAGAGAAGTTTGGGGAGCAAGTGAAGGAAAGATCTGAGCAAGCAGTCAGCAGTGCCTGGAGGATCAGGCGAGATGAAAACCCCAAGACAGGCTGTCAGAGACAGAGCTGGATTGGGTGGAGCTTATTGGGGAATAATTTTAGTTTCAGCTATCTCATCTCCAAATCAATGGTCTGAAAATAGGCTTAAGGCACACACAGCTGCATAGAATGCACATCTTGTAACATCCAGAGAGTTGGGGATCCTTCATATAACCAAGATGACTACATGGAAGGGAAGTGCCTCCAGTTGCAAAAACTGGAGCTCTGGGTTTTGGACCTTGAGGGAGAGCTGGAATTACTGTGTTACCATCTTCAAAACAGAGAACTCTGTAGATAGCATTCTTAGCAGAGTGTCAGCAGACAGGCTAGCAGGGAGGGAATGAGTGATCATGAGGTAAACTAGAAAGACAAGATTGCTAATGTAGTTTTCCCTCACTCACTAAATAGATTTCCATTTTGAAACCTAAAAAGAGTGATGGCTCATCAGAGGAATGAGAGAGAACCAGGCTTATGGTATTACAAGTGCCTCAGCTGCACAAGTAGAAGCAGAGTACTGGGGTAGTAGAATCATAGAATCCCTACAGTGTGAAAGCAAGCCATTTGGCCCATTGAGTCCACGTGACCGTCCAAAGACCATCGCACTGAGACCCAACCCCCTACCTAAACCCTGTAACCCTGCATTTCCCATGGCTAATCCACTAAACCTACACATCCCTGGATACTATGGGGGCAATTTAGCACAGCCAATCCACTTAACCTGCACATCTTTGGACTGTGGGAGGAAACCCACGCAGACGTGGGGAGAATGTACAAATTCCACACAGACAGTCACCTGAGGGTGGAATCGAACCCAGCAGCAGTGCTAACCACTGAACCACTGTGCCACCCATATTTAGTAGTGGTGGTAGGTGATTTGATAGTTAAGACAAGTAGGTATTTCTGTGGCTCTAAATGTGATTCCAGGATGGTGAACTCACAGACTGTCTGCAGGATATTCTTTTGATGGAGGGTTAAGATCTGGAGGTTATGGTCCACATTGGCACGCTGACATAGGTAGAAAGTGGAATGAAGTCCTGAAAGTAAAATTTAGGGAGCTAGGAAAGGGACTGAAAAGCAGGACTCCAAGGCAATAATCTTAGATTTGTTCCCAATACCTTGTACTAGTGAGTATAGACACAGGAAAATTAAGTAAGTGAATGAAAGCATGGCTGGAAATATCGTGCATGTGGGAGGGAGGGCTTTAGTTTTCATGGGGATGGGGACCAGTTCTGAAGAAAGGGGGGCTGGACAAGGAGGGGAGGTCATATCTTAGTGGGTCTGGGACTAATATCCTCCCAGAAAGATTTATGAGTGTTGGTTGCAGCGAGTTTAAATTAGCTTGTTAGAAGGATGGGAACCTAAGAGAACTGAGATGGAATAAAAAACAAAGCTAATTGTGGGAAGTAGTAAAACTGTAAATGAAAGAAGAAATCAGCAGAAACAAAAACCTAGAACCAACTAGGGTCAAATTACACAATTGTGTTAAAAAGGCAAATTTAAAATCTTTCTGAATACACACAACATGATAAGTGAACTGATGGCACTTGTAGAAAAGGAGGGATGTGATTCAATTACAATTATGGAGACTTGACTGTAGAGTGAACAAAACTGGGAACTGAATATTAAAGGACAGTCAACATTTATAAGAGATAGACGAAAAGGCAAAAGAGATGGAATAGTGCAGATAATAAGGGGCAGAATCGGTGTTTTAGTGAGAGAGAATCTCCAGATGGTAAAAAACAGACAGGATGTAGAATTTGTTTGGGTGGAACTAAGAAGAGCAAGGGGTTCCAATCTTTAGTAGAAGTGGTTTGTGGGCCACCAGACAGTGGTGGTAATATTGGGTGCCATATAAATTAATAAATTAGAGCAATGTGTAGCAAGGAGAATGCAATAAGCATAAGTGACTTCAATCTACACATAGGCTCAGAAAATCTGATGAGCAACAATGCCGCAGAGTATTCCTGGAATGTGTTCAAGATAGTATTCTGCAGAAATATTTTGAGGATGCAACAGACTATTTCAAATCTCCCACTTTGCAATGAGAAAAGGCTAATTAATAATTTTGTTGCAAAAGAAACTTTAGGGAATAATAACTGTGGTGTGATAGTATTTTCTGTTCAGTTTTAAAAGCTACAGTTCAATTGGAAACTGAGGTCTTAAATCTTAACAAGCGCAATTATGAAGGTACGAGGAGGAAGTTGACTCTAGCTGCTTGGAAGAATGCATTAAAAGAATTAACCGCAGATAGGCAACATAAAGTAGTTAAAGAATTAGTGCTTGGTTTCAAATGCCTTTAAGGCAAAAATATATAACATGGAAAGTGAGGGTTCCATGTTTACCAGGGTGACTTAAAGGTCATTTCAGGTCAAAGGAGGAGGTTTATAAAGTTACCAGGAATTTGTAAGCTGAAGGATTAGAGAATTTTAGAATTCAGCAAAGCAGGAGCAGGAAATTGATAAAGAAAGAGAAAATATTAGCAAAGACAAATGAGGGTCGATCACAGGCGGAGACTGGTGAATGTATAGTAGGGATAGTAAAATGGTGGAGAGACTAAGTAAGTTCTCTGCGTCTGTCTTCATAGAGGAAGGTATGAGGTCTCCCTGATTAAATAAGACAATAAATATTTCTTAATGAAGATCCAAGTGTCTAGTCAGATTATGAAACTGAATTATTATCAGTGGAAGAAGTCATATCACAGAAATTAATGGGACTAAAGTTTTCAAATCCTCTAGATCCAGTGACCTTCATCTTAGAGTACAGAAAGAGATGGCTACAGAAATTGTGGATACATTTGTGATCAACTTTCAGACTTCCAATGCAGTGATGCCTGCAGATTGGAAGATTGTAGGTGTAGCTCCACTATTTAAGAAGGGAGGCCGTGATGTGGTGGTGCTGGTGTTGGACTGGGGTGAACAAAGTAAGAAGTCACAGGGCACCAGGTTATAGTCCAACAAGTTTATTTGAAATCACAAGCTTTTGTAGCGCTGCTCCTTTGTCAGACTTCACCTAATGAAGGATCAGCACTCCAAAAGCTTGTGATTTCAAATGAACCTGATGAACTATAACCTGGTGTTGTGTATCTTCTGAGTAAGAAAGGAGTGAAGGAGAAAACAGGGAATGACAGACCCATTAGCCTGATGTGAGTAATAGGGAAAATACCTTAGTCTTGAATGTGATTACTTGGTGTTTAGAAATTAATTGTCTGATTGGACAGAATCAATATGGATTTATGAAGGGAAAATTGCATTTGACAAAATTGTTGGAATTTTTCAGGATGTTACTAGCAGGGTCAATAAGGTAGAACTAATGGACGTGATGTATTTAGACTTTCTGAAGACTTTTGATAAAATTCCACACAGTTAATTGTAAACAAAATTAATGTTCTTGGAATTGATGGTAATATACTAGCACAGTCTGAGGACTGGTTAACAGGCAGAAAGCAGAGAATAGGAATAAATTTGTCATTCTCAGCTTGACAGGCTTTAACATCAAGAATCAGTGCTTGGTCCCCAACTGAACACATTCCACATTAATGATTTGGATGTGGGGGTTAATTATAATATTTCCAGGTTTACAGATGATAAAAACCTTGTTGGCAATGTGAGCTGTGAGGAGGATTCAGTGGGGACTCCAGGGGATTTAGTTAGGCTATGTGAGTGGGCAATAGGAGATGGAATATAATGTGAATAAATATGAGGTCTTGAAAGATTAGTCATTAAGTCATTTCAAGACAGATTTCTAGTTACCCGATTACATCAAGGGACATGGGATTATGGTTTTTGGCAGATGATTAGCCATGATCTAGAAATGCAGAGGAAGCTCAAGGGGTTGAATGGTTACAATGTTCTTAAGCTTTCAATGGTATCAGAAAGCACTGGACTAAGAAAAGGAAGCTCTCTGATTAGGAAATGGTTTGAGAGAGAGTACAGGGTGCAAGAGGTGAGGTGTTATAGAGGGGTGAATTTATTGAAAATAGGAAGATATGGTGATATACACAGTTGGAAGTAAGGGGAAAGCTGGAAAGGGTGGGGACAAAGAAGGAGGAGTGGCCAATCAAACAGATCACCTTTGAGAATGAAAAGGACTGTGATTGCTTCCATCTTGCAGTTGAAGGGGAGGGTGAAATGTGCTGGAGGAATGGAGAGGCAGCAGGTTATGTCAATATATAATGTTTGGCAATAGCTTCTTCGTTCGGGACCACTAGGCCTTTGAGATGGAGATATGGTCATATCTGAATAGACTCATTTGGATGCAGCAGTGGTCAAGCTGGTCAATCAAATAAGCAGCACTATCAAGTTAAGTTTGTGACCATCAAATTTTAATGATGTGACGGGACAATATCAACTGAAGGTTGGGAGTGGTGATGGATAGAAGGGTGAGAGTGGTCAAGCAACTTGTGGTCAGGATGAGAAACCGTGACAATTAATATGCATAAGGGTGATGAAGATTGAAGAAAAAAATACTAAAATGGAGCAGTAGCATTATAGAGGCTTGGGAGTATAACAAACATAGTAATAATGAGAATTGTGAAGGAATGGGAGCTTCATATTAACTGGAGACCTTGTTGTTGCTCACTGGGGAAAGAAATAGCTTATGGTCTAGTGCTGCCTCATTATCTGTAGCGGAAAGTTGTTGATTCCATTTGAGATCTCAAGACCAATTGTCCACACATATCGTGCTATCTAAGACTATTGTACTTTTGGATGATCACTGAAGGCTGGAATTATTTATTGTTATATCAATCTATTTATTGTATATTACATTGTGTGCACTGTGTATAAACATCTTCCCGCTGTAAATTCCTACATTCTTATTTGTAACGGCCTCCAATGGAGGTGCAAATGCACCATCAATGTTAGGAGGTTGTCAATACAATTTGGCCAGTATCGACAGGCAGCTTCCATTATACAGGGGAGTTCCCAATTAACAAAACTCCAACTAATGAATGCTCATACTTACGAACGTGACCCCATACAGGGGTGTAATTTTAAAGACTTAACATACAAACATTTCCTATACTTAAGAACAATTACTTTACATTGTCTTGCATTGTGTTCCGACTTGCACACAAATTGACATGCAAACAGATTCCAGAACGGAACCTGTTGGCAACTGCCTGTATTGTTGACATAGGAAATTATAATAGAAGCCTAACACGTAGGCCAGCAGGCCTTTACGTTAAACGGGGGACTGAGTTCACATGCATGTTCTCTATTCTATGATTGCTACTGATCTCTCTAACTTCGGTGGGCTCCTGAATTTCTTGTAGCTGCTCCTGTTCTGTTGCCATCATTTTGCTGTTGGAAATCCACAAAAAAGTCATAGCGAAAGAGCAGGAATGGCTGTGTAGAGTTTTGCAGGCAATGTATTTAATTTTTCATATACACTGGCACAGGAGAGCCAAGTTTGCTTTCGAAATACTCTTCATTCATCCAGTGGTAATTGCTGACCTTGTATGGCTTATTGTAAAGATTTCCTTCCAGATTAATGTTCTAAATATGTAAGGGACATTAATGAATGATATTACTTACTGAAAATTTAATAAATTGAAAGAAAGAATTCACATTTATAGCACCTTTCATGACTTTGCAATGTCAATTTCTTACACCCAATTAAGAATTTTTGAATTCATTATTGCTACAAAATAGAAAATGCAGGAGTTAAATTGTATACAACAGGAAAATACAAGCAGCAATAAGGTAATGACTACATAATCTGCATGAATTATCCTCTCCTACTAGTGCAATGAGATATTTTAGTTATACCTGTTGACAACAAAAGGACATTAGTTTAACATTTCAGCACAAAAGTCAGACTGTACAGAACTCTTTCAGGTGAGACTGTGACAGAGCCAAGATCAGCAATTATCATAAAAGTTAAAATTTGAGTCAAAGGCATAGCTAATTGCACCAACCTTGGATGTGGGCTTCAACTGTCTTGCACACTGACTCCAAGATTTTATTCGAAATTTCTTTCATTCCAAGAAAATTTGCAACATGATAAGTATATCTCTGAACTGGTCTGCTGGAAATATCTTGAAGTTCCTTCTTTCCTTGGATATTAACTCCAACGACATAAATTGTGACTCCGCTATTTCTCAGTCTGTTGGCAGCATCATCCACCTCAGTGATGGACTCACCATCGGTGACCAGGATCACAATCTGCTGCACATTGTCTGCTGCCCTGCTCCCTGCTGCGGGAACAAAGTGTTGGCTCTGCAGAAACTCCAGGGCCCTTCTAGTATCGGTCCTGCCTTTCTTCTGTTGCAAGCTCTGTAGGTAGTTCAGAATGTCATTCTTGGATGAATATTGATTCAGCAGGAATTCTGTCTTTGGATCGTCACTGTACTGAACCAGTCCAATCCTCACTTTGTTTTCTGCAATATCTAGGCCACTAACAAAGGTGTACAGAAACTCCCTCACTTCTTCAAAGTTCTCATCACTTATACTGGTTGAACTATCCACCACAAGGACAATATCAGCAAGTGTGGCTTTCCTGCAAGCTGAAAACAGAAAAAATAACAATTTCTCATAAAATGCTTTTAGATAACTACACGTGGTCAGCAGTGCTGACAATGTATCTTTATGTAATCATTACCGATTCCAGCCCCATCCTTAATTTGAAAGTTTAGAGTAAACAGTCACACTTGATGAATACTTGTTACTTTGATCAAGACATTTCCAACTATTTATACCCTCCCTCTTTATCTCTCTCCATCTATTATACGAAAGGAATCATTATGTAAGGCATTAACATATTAATCCTGCTGACTACTTCAGGCAATCCATTCGGTCCTCATCCTACACTTAATTGTTTGAAAATTTTGCTGATTTTGGACAAAATTGGGCCTGCAATCAGCTTAAACCATCTGTAAAGCTGGTGGCAGTGTGATTATCTTACTAGTATGTCTGTGGCTCAAAGATGAAGAACAAATGTTTCACATGGTAATGTTCAGACATGCATCAAATACCCATGGGGGTAGGCAGTACTGAAGACCATTAGGATTTCAATATCTGGTTAACTCATTGACTGTAAGCTTCTTTATGATCCAATGGCACTGCATGGAAAGAGGTATGACAGGTCAATAACAAGTCACTCATCCCCATTGCCATTACTTGAGATGGCCACAATGAACTACTGTAAAAGAATTCAGTAAGGGAGTCACTGCAGACCTAAGCCATCTGCTGCAAGGACAGGTGTGACTACCCTGAAGCATAAAGTTTGCACATGCAGCGTGACTAGTGCTAAACTATGGCCTGTACATTCTTCACATGACTGATCCATGCATTGGTAGTGAGAATCATTTCAGACAAAATCCCTTCTCACAAGTATCTAATGTCTTGATTTCAGTGTCAGCCATCATAGAGGACACCAAGTGCTGAACTTCAGCCTTCCTGGCCTGCAGACTCTTCCTGCACATGGGGATCTGTTTCTCTTCAACTTGGCCACTCTTATATCTGTGCACCCAACAAGCGTTGATTCACTTCTAAAGCTCACTAGAAGCCATGACCTTCTCCTTTTATACTCCTTCTTCAATTGCCCACAATTCCCACTATGCTTGCAGGCATACAATTTTCTTCTTCACTGGACTTGCCTTCCCTGGGCCCATCCCTTATCAGCTCAAGCCTGGGTTTGTAACTGGAAAGCATGAATAAGCTTAGACTGGAGAATTAAGTGCCCTTAACACCTGGGATTCAGGTAAAAGCAGAATGGGCCAAATTAAAAACTGATTAGATTTGAAGGTGAAAACTGAATGCTAAATGACTGTTTGATAGAGTCCTAGACAATGAATGAATATGAGATATAACTCCAACTCCAGTCAATTTGCAATTGGAGACACGTCCATGTGCAATGCGTCTAGTGGATGCTGTGATGCCTTTGTTCTTATCAACTAATGCATAAAGGTAGAAACTGTGGAATATCAGAGAGATTTAAAGATCCATATACAACAATCCTTAAAACCCAGTGGACAACATTGAGAATAATTAAACCATCTTTGGAATGTCAACCCTTATGTCAAAGGGGCCAGAAAACAAAGGGAAGACAGATGTCCTAGCGCTGTGTAAAGCTCCAGTTAGACTGAATCTGGAGGACTGCAGTCAGTTTTAGGCACATACATCAGAGTACATCTACAGACCATTGAATGGGTACAGCATTGAATAAATTAACAACATTAGCCTTATTGTGAGAGCCAATTGTAAAAACTTGCCTTGCCTTGCCGTAAGGTTGAATTTGAGATGTTTAAGATGAATTAAGGATCTAATAAAGAAAATGATTTCATCTGCTGAAAGACTCCAAAGCAACAGAAATAATCTAAGTTAAGCAATGACACCAGAAAAAATACCTTCATGCATAACATTATGGAAATTGAACACCTCTCCTGCAAAAAGCTGCTGTGTCCACATTCAACTGAAAACATTCAAACCGAGATTTGTAGATTTTTGTCAGCTAAGGGTACTGAAGTTGTTAAATGGTGGGCAAATGAAGTTAGGATGCAGATCAGCCATGAGCTAATTGGATAGGAGAACAGGCTTGAGCGAATGAATGGTCTTCCCATTTTCCCATCGTGCTGAAAGGCAGATAAGTGAGAGGATCCCCCTTGGTATTTTCCACAGTCCATTACTATCAAGGGAACTCAAGAGTGCATCATGCGTCTGTTATTGGAATCCAGCGAGAAAGGGGAATGGGATGAAACACAAAGAGAGAGCAGAAAGTGTGTCTAGAAAAGGGGTTAAATATAACCAGACAGTGCAGGAATATCAAATTTAAAGAATTAGCAAAAGCCGAAAAGTTCAGGTGCAACACTTACAATTGCCAAACTGGATGATTTCTGAGGTACAATACCTGGGGAAACTTGTGAGACCTGAGATACTTGACGAGTCACCTCTTCCACCCTGGTACAAACAAATTGGATGACAGCCTGTGAAATTCCTCTCAGGGCTGCGAAGTCTGCCACGTTGTACACATAATTTCCAGCTGGCTTACTGGCAATTTCCTCCAGTTCTTTCTCCACAGCATCCTTGATGCCAATGGCGTATATGGTGACCCCTCGGTCCCTCAGTGCTTTTGCGGGTGGTCCAACACTATCCTGGGATTGCCCGTCGGTGATTACAATGGCCACCTGCGGTACCCCCATTGATGCCCTGCTGCCCGCCGACTCCACAAAGTGCTTGTTCAGCATGAACTTCAGGCCCAGCCCTGTTCTTGTTCCTCCTCCTTTGTATGGCAGCTGCTGTAGATACTGCAGGATCTCATTCTTATCACTATAGGAATTCAAGAAAAACTCAGTGCGAGGATTTCCACTGTACTGGATGAGGCCTATCCGAACTTTGTCCAGTCCAACATCAAATCCATTCACAAGGGTATAGAGAAACTCTTGAATATTTTTAAAGTTCTGGATCCCGATACTCCAGGACCCATCCACCAGGAATACAATGTCCGCAAGAGATGACTCTCTACAGGCTTCAAAAGCAGAAGAAACTACAGTTATTGTGACAATCAGTACAGGTTAATATTCATTAAGCTCAGCATAATTTATTATGAAACTGAGACCCACATCAATAATCTGTTTCCATGTCCATGCTTTGTTAACAGATAGCATGCAAAATATAAATTAGGAATGTCTTTACTGACACCTGTTCTGGCACAGTAAATTACCTGGAGTTGCATGAAAACCCAGCAAAGTTACAATACAGGCTGTGGGAGCAGATGCAAGAAAATTCACAGTGGCAATTAGTTCTAATATTGGAAAACTCAAAGTGACAAGTGCCCTCCAATAACCTTGCACTCCTATGTTCTACGTTTGCTGTTGTACTTCATTCTAATTGGTGAAAAGTGTTTCCAACACAAAGGATAAAGTTCTTAAGTTACAGAACAGCTCCTTGCGTAGATGGGAGCCAAAACAAGTTTCAAAACTGAAGTAAACCTGATTGCCAGTTAGTTGGTAGTGAATTGAGATTTGCGCCAGTTCAGATGGCTCGAATCCGATTATCCCTCATAATTGAATAAAATAACACATCTATGTTTCACATGGAGTACACGTAGAAAGAAAGGATAGGGATAAAATGTCCCTGCTGGCAGCCACATTTCTCTTCTATCTATTTTTTACAGTCATTCCTTACAAATACCTTTATCAGCTTCAAGATGATTCAAGGTTATTATGAATTAATGATTATTTAAGGACCACTAACTACCTTCAGCATTATCTCGTTGGCATTGGGTAGAGGCTGGTGACAGGTTACAAGCCCAGCAGCTCATAACACTCAAGCTTTGAGAAAAAGGGTATGTCTTTTCATGGGCCTTTGTTTCTTTTGGAGGTCCAGCCCTAACAACACCAGTGGCCCTGCTGGGACCAGAGATCATCCAATTGCCTAGTAGCTTTTGGCAGCAGGACTTCATCTCCATGGTGGGGCACTGGACGGGTTGAAGTTGCTTCAAAGAAATAAACATCCCAGCAGATATTAAGAGATAGGGCATCCTTAGAAAAGGCAGACATTAAATCAGTTTGTGTTCGCAAAACTGGCCCATTCAGAAGCAGAAGGTACAGCTGCTTCCAAATCTGCCCATGATGTCTACTCCCTGAAAGTAGAATCCAGCCCTCTGGCTTTAACCTCATCATTCAAAATCGTGAAAGGGCACTATGGATTTTACAGTTTGCTGTCTCCTACCTTACATTCAGTGTTTCAGAATTATGATATAATATTTTGACCTGGAATGTCAACATATTGCATTGAATTTTTCAGTGAAATTCCTCTGCTTTCAGCCCAAAAGATAGCAGAATTTTAAGCACAAAATGCATTCAGTGAAAATCAAGTTTCAGTGATCTTCTGCACATCATCCTGGGGTCCAGCTCACAAAACCTGCTATGTTCGCAGGGAGAATTAATTACTTAAGGGCATTTCCATTATTTACAATCTTTCAAGGAGGCTCCAAATATTAAGCTGGAATTTCATTGTGATTTGAAGAAGGGTCACTGTGCCTGAAACATTAAGTCTGACATCGCTCCACAGATGCTGCCAGACCAGTTACGTTTTTCCAGCAATTTCTGTTTTTCATTTTTGATTAAACTGGAACTTTTGGGCACAAAGACATTAATGTGTACATTTGTAAAGGTCATTTTATTTTTCTTTTATAAATTTGCTAAGGATCTGACAAAAATATCCCTATCTTCAGTTATTGTGGTAGTAATCTTCCACTCTTCAGTCTTAGCAGAAAGAGGGTACTGAGGTCTAAGACAACCTTTTTAAGGTTATTGTTGATAAGATTACTGTTTACACAGCATTCTATAAACTATCTACACTCTCAGACTTGGCATCTCTCTTCATGTGATCTCTTACATCACAATTGATGTACATTACTTTTACATATTTGAAGATCAACTCTTTAGTTTAGTCCTTTACAAAGAGCTGACAAACTTTATATGGTCCTAGATCTCTCACCAAAGTCTCACAGGAATAAAAACTGAGGTGGGTTTTACCAATCTTTGTGATCTCATTCACAGTTTGATGGTTGAGGAACTGTTCTTTAAATTTTCATGAGGAAATGTCAACTTTTTGTTCATGTTGTCTTCCTGGTTGGCAGGATAGCTGATCCATCTTAATAATGTTTTCTTTCCTCATTAAAACTAACGTTCTTCTGCTTCATTTTCTTCTTCACTTCTCTTTCTCTCAGAACGGAAAGGATTTGTTATATAAACACATTTTCGTCCTTTGTCATTTTTCTCAGCTTGCCCAGTTTCCTGCATTTTTATTACTGCTGCTGGCAAGTTCTTGGTCATCAAGGAAGTGAATGCCTTTACCTCTCTTGTGCTCCGTGGGATTTTCCATATGTTAGCCCTTGTAATAAATATCATTGAGGGATGGGTTCTTATTGAGTCTTATATTTGGATGTTTATTAACAACTAACTATATATTTTAATATGATGTCTCAAATGTTTATACACTTTCTGTTTACTCAGACTAGTTGATTACTAAATAATAAACTGACTAGCAGACCAGTTGTCTGTCCAACTAACCATTGACTGAATGACGGAGCATAAGACCACTTATACTAGAAGACCACATGTTGCGATGTCATTAAACTGTCTTAAAGATACATTGGCTTTCGGGAATCTGAGCAATTATACAATTTCCCCCTCTTTCCCTTTGAAGAATGGAAAACATTCTGATAAGCATCCACAAGGATATATGTCAGTAATAATCCTTATATATTATGACAATACTTTGGTCATCGAGTCATAGAAGTCACAGGAAAGGCTCTTTGGCCCATCAAGTCTGTGCTAGTCAAAAACAAACATCTAATTGTTTTGGATCTAATTATTCTAATTCCAGTTTCTATCATTTGGTCCATAGCTTTGCCTGCCTTGGCATTGCAAGTGCACATCTAAATACTTCTTAAATGTTATGAGGGTTTTCTGCCTCTATTACCCTTACAGACAGTGAGTTCCAGATTCCCATCAGCCTCTGTGTGAAAATAAATGTTCCTCACATGTCCTCAAAGCCTCCTGCCCCTTAACCTAAATCTGGGCCCCAGGCATTGATCCCAACACCATGGGGAAACGTTCCTTCCTGACCTGTCAAGGTGGATAGTTCTGTATCCAGTTTTGCTCCATAGTGGTATGTAGATGGTCTATTTCAACATGTTTGTTTATAGTACCAGTGGTTGAAAACTAGGCTTCCAGGAATTCTTGGGCTTGTCTTTGTTTTGCTTGTCCATGTACTACTACGTTGCCCTAGTTAAACTGATGTACTTCTTTGTCAGAGTGAATAGAAACGAGGAAGAATTGTTTGTGCTGTTTTGCTGTGAGTTGGTGTTTGTGTCTCCTGGTGGAGAGTTTCCTGCCCATCTGTCCTATGTATTGCTTCTCGCTGTTGCTGCATGGTATCTTGTATATCACATTTGTCCTGCTCATTGCGAGTATGGGGTCTTTTGTCTTTGAGAGTAGCTGGCGGAGTGTGGCTGTTGGTTTGTGTGCTACCTTTATTCCAAGAGGAATCTTGTAGGAGTCTTGCAGTCAGTTCCGATATGTTTCTAAGATAGGGTAGGGTGGCCAGTGTGTTGGGGCATACAGTGTCTTCTCGGTGCTGTTTATTTGCCAGGCATCAGTGGATGAAGCTGTTAGGATACCCATTGTTTGCAAAGACTTTGTATAGATTTCCCTCTTCGTTTTTGCGTAGCTCCAGGGTGTTGTAATGTGTTATTGCTTGTTTAAACAGAGTCTCGGATTGTCTAGTAATGCAGCCATTGTCTCCTTTGCTAATGTCATGTCGATAGAGGTGAGTGGAGCCGTAGCATCAAAGGAGACCATCATTTCATGCTTGTGGATTTTTATGTTTTTGATGTTATTCAGGAATTCCTATGTGGAGTGTATGAAGTGAGTTCATCCATTGGCGAAGTGTTACAGTCTATGTTGTAGTTCCTTGGCTAGCCTGTGTGTCGGTGTGCCCAGTAAGGAAACTATGGGTCTGAGGGGGATGTCCAGTTTGTGCGCCTTGGGTGGTCTGTAGAATCCGGGGGGTGTTTGATCCATCGGGTTTCACTTTCGGGAAGCCTGTTCTTGTTATTTGGCCTGTCCGCTGTAATTTCCTTAGTGTATAGGTGATCCTGTTCTGTAATTGTGGAGTGGGGTCTGACTCCCTCTGTTGGTAAATGTTGGTATCTGCAAGTAGTTGTTGTGCTTTTTCAATATAGTCCGATTAATGCACTGTAACTGTCAAGCGGCCTTTGTCTGCTGGTAAGATTATGATGTTCCTGTCCTTCTTTAGTCCTCTGAGGGCTTTGCTTTCTGATGTGTTGAGTGTGTTTGACTAGTTTCTCCTGTTCAGAAAAGGGACTATAATTTGTTGGATGGCCTGTGGTATTTTGGCCATGAGTCTATTAGATTTCAGTGTAGCTTCGAGTGCAGCCAGGAAGTCTGTTTTGTTAGCGTCCTTGTGGTTATAGTAAAGTCCCTGTATCAGGCCAGCTTTCTCAGTGCCTGTTAGGTGTTTGTCTGATAGATTTCTTATCCATGTGTCTGCTTTGTTCTTGTCCTTGCTATGCATCAGTTTCGTCAGTTTTTTCCTGTAGTGTGAGTATCTTCTTAGTTCTGGTCCTGTTTTACTCAATACTGATGGCCTGTTTGAGAGTTGTAATAACGGAACCCATAACCGCCTCCACAAATATGAACGAGAAATGTAGCACTAAAAATCTTTATACCTGAACTCAACCAAGCAAAAGTGGACCACAACGCTCAAACAGGCCATCATTATCGAGCAAAACAGGACCAGAAGTAAGAAGAGACTCACTAAATAGGAAAAACCAGTCAGACACACTCAACACATCAGAAAGTAAAGCGCTAAGAGGACTAAAGAAGGACAGGAACATCATAATCTTACCAGCAGACAAAGGCCGCTTGACAGTTACAGTGCATTAACCGAACTATATTGAAAAAGCACAACAACTACTTGCAGATACCAACATTT